AACTTTTGGAGACGGATTTAATGGATGTGGCTATTTGACCGTTAAATATTGAAGTAAAAAAAGTATCGGCTTATGTAAGAATTATTTAGGGCTGAATGTGAATTTTCTATTGAAATAGTTGCGTAAGGTCAATAGTGCCAGTTTTCATGGTAAATGATACATCGCACTTCCCCAAACCACGGGATAGTTTTAAGGTAATTTATCCTTGAAAAATTAACAGATTTCTGCGAATTGAGCGGTACGTATGATGCAAGCAAGCCAGATTATGTATGTGTTTACTCATGCCAGGTTATGTGTGTGCTAGGCTTGTTTGAACGGTGATATATAAATTATGTCCAATTGCCGTCTCCAGCCAGGCAGACAAGGTGGCAATGCATCATCGTAAGTGTCATCCAATAATTAATTGTCTTGTAGCAAGTAAAAGCTTCCTACGTGAAGAGAAAGTGAGAGAGAGAAAAACAGCAAAAGTTTTTCTTTTCCAGACCAATTATCCCCGTCGCGTGTGTGATTGTTTTGATGATGAATCGAAACATGATGCACTTATTTATTTATTGTTTCTTCCCTGGTACGCATTACATCAGCCTCTTGCATTGTGTAACTGTTGTTTATGTTGCATAACCTGATTTCGTAGGTACTTCACTTCATATAAGGTAAATAATAAACCCGAAGCGCTAATGACCACCAGATGGCCGCGTTAATGTTTACACGCACTTTGAACCGAAAGGTGCGGAAAGATGGATAAAAAACTAAGAAGAAAATATAAAATTTTTCACCCTGTCGAAAGTCGGAACATCAGATAGTTTATTACTCGGCGGAGAATACTTTAAGAGAGGCCAAGAGGGACCACTTTCTCTGCAGAATTTTAAAAGTTTCACCGTTTAACCGTAATGTTCTGATACCCTTCTTTCTTCCATGTTCTCGGCACGTTCTCAATCCACCCGAGTTCATTTTTTCAGGTGGTTCTACACTCTAGCAATTTATCATCTGCTACGTCCCGACAGGGAATGAAATGCGATGCACTGTAAACTCCTTGCTTTCTCCAACTCGTCATGATGCCCCTCTCGCAACTAAAAAGTGAGATGCATTGCATTTTCTGCACTGCATTATTCAAAAGTTATGTGTGCCCCTGCAACCTGTCCATGTTTGCCGAGTGCATAAATGTGTGGAGAAGAATTGCTCTTAAATTTCAATGCCAGGGTGGGTGGAAAAGGGTCGACTTCAAAGAAAATCGGTTTTACGATATGCACTCACCAAACCAAAACGTTGTTTGAATGATGTAAAGCAATCTATAAACAACATTATTCTTTTTCCCAGGTTCGATTTCTTCTTCTCTCTTCTGTTGAATATTGAAAGTAGCTTGGGGAAAGTAGAGTGAAAGTAAAGAGAGTTGTTGATTTTTTTATTTTGTTATACAGTAGTGCATTTCTTGGTAACAAGTTCACGAAGAAAACCCTCCTGGGTAATTCAACCGGTGGAAGGAGGAGAAGTTATATTCTCAGAAATATTACACTCGGTCGTTGAACATGTAGTAAAGAAAGAAATGCTAAAAAACATACAAAATAACTGTTGCGTTTTGGGACATGATGAAATGATAAAATGTATTAAGTGAAGTCGGAATATTTCTAGTTTTCTTGTTCAAGGGAAACTTTTGTAAATTGATTCCTGAATATTTCATATCTTGCTCAATTGATAATGTAATTATGTTGACAATTTTTGATGAAATAAATGTTAAGAAAAATAAGAAAGTATTACTTTTAGTGCTTCCAGGATATAAAAGTAGTGACAAGTTCCCCTCTTTGTCGAATTAATTTGGATACTAACTTTTTTTTAGGAAAAAAGAAAGTTTCCACGAAATATGAAAGTAATGGCATCCAAGAAATGAAAGTGAAGGAAATGAAAAAGACGTTCCGTAATGAGCATATGAGATGTGACACACGCCACAAAAGACAACACATGTCTATTCTTCGAATTCCAATTTAGTTGCGTTCAAGTAAAATCGTAATAAAGCGTGAGTTTTTGGGGTGAAAGTCAGTGCGGGTAACATTTACGAAAGAATAGTCGTGGTTGGTTGGGTGGTGTGATCTCATTAAATTAGATTTGTCAGAATTTGGTCGTACTCTCGTGCCAGCCAGATGCTCAAATTAAATACACGAAATGAAGAAAGAGACGCATCTCTGGAAGGAAAGTTCGTGGTAGTTGTGTGTGTGTGGTTCAAGCGAATTCTTGCTAATTACATCACATTATATGACGTGTCGTGCCATATGCTTTTTTTCTGCCTGCCAGAATATTCGAGCAAAAGGGGAAAGAGATTAATAATGGAAAAGTCTTTCTTCAAACCTTTTTTGAAATATGGCCGTGTTAATGATGACACTCTGTTAAAAAAGAGTATTGAGGGACGTCAATTGAGTTAAGATTTTGACACAAATTGGCCAAAGTACTGTTTTCTGACGCCCTCATACTGGTACTAAAAGTTGAAGGAGAAACTCATTGTGTCGAACTGACTGTCGTTCACTTGGCGGGTGCGGCGGGGTTTCAGGGTTCATTTCATTCCATAATTTAATAAATTAGCAGCGTTTCATAGTCGAAAAGTCGGGGCAGAGATCTCCAATAAAGTTCACCACCCTTCTGTTCATTTCTGCTTTATGGACTGGATCTCAAGCACCAAAGCAACTTTGTTCTGTCCATTTCCCTCTGATTAATTCATTCATCTTTCATAGGTTGGTTACTGACCGGGCTATTTTGTGATATTCTAGTGCATTTAAACTCCCAGTAGGCAGCATAGTGCTCTTCTGATACCCTCCGTGATGAGGTTTCCTTCGCTCTTTTATGACCAAGCAAACCCGTAACGAAGTTCAGGGTGAGTTTCACCACTAGTGGAAATGCATAGCTTCGCTTTCTCTTACGGAGAAAGCTAGAAACATTCATAGATAGAAGTCGTCCTTTCACGCAATGGATTAGATTCATTTCATTAGGAATTCGAGTGGATTGCATTGCACATCACCGTTCCGACATGATTAGTATGCACCCTTTTGCCCATTTTGGTTTTACACGAGCTTTTTCTAAATTCAAAACGACTACTTTAAACCAAATGAGTCTGACTGAATTCGCTAAAACGCCAACCAACGACCAAGAGCCTCAAGCACCTAACCACCCACCCACCCACACTATGCTTGTATGTACCTACTAGTTGTTGGTGCATGGGTAATGATGGGGATATGGGGGGAGGGCAATTGTCATTTAGCTTATACTTTGGGGCGGTTTTCCTCCGTACCGCTGCCTGCGGTCACTTGTGGTTTTTGGAATAAGTTACCATCAGGGAGTTTCCGTACATTACTATTTCAAATGTTCATGTTCATGAATGTCTAAGTTAACTGGGTCCATGGGCAAGTCTTGGAAGAACTTAACGACTTTTGAGCTCCACACACAACAGCTAACGTCTGTTGCTGCCAAGTGAAAGCTACTTTTTGGAGGATGTGATACCCGATGGATGGATTCTTTCTCTAAAAGCCAACAAGATATCAGGAAGAGAGAGAGAGAGAGGGTGAGCTGGTTATCTCCTTGATTGCCTCCTCTTCTGCATATAGCAGGGTAAAAAACAATACTTTCCACCACACATTACAAGACATTACATTACCATATAGCGTTTTTGGGAAATTCGAACCTTGCAATTGAGCTGAACATACATGTCTCCTCTCTCCGTCCAAACTGGATAGATACTGTTGAATCATGAATGAGAGAGCTGACTGAGCATTTTGTTCTTCTTGTTCTCGTAGTTTGTGTTGGAACGGAAAAAGTTTGAGATTGGAAACTATTCATAATTAATCAACTAATTTATCCTCATTCAAGTTACTTTTGTTTACTTGAAATATTCCATGCGATGAGAAGAATGAGACTCAAGTTGGTACGAGTATAATCGCTGCTAGATACATATTTAACAGAAGAGTGGTTTGTTTTTAGGGGAAGAATTTTGTCAGTTTTTGGCTAAATATGTAAGTAAGTTCTGCCACTACTCCAATATTATCCTTACTTTGTCTGCTAAATATTCATAAACACGAACAAAGGCCAACCAAACACAACAGAGTAACAGCTAGACAGGACCACGTTAAACTGTTGTTTAGTATGAATTATCATATTTTGAATGAAACTCTGTGGTATCATTTTCCACCAATTTTGGAAAATTCGAGTAGCAAAGTTGGTACATATGGATGTAATGTAAGCTTTCTGTTTTCGACAAAAATGCGAGTAAACAAGTCGCATATTTTTGTGTGGAGAAATTCGATGCGTCGTAGAATCCTTGTTTAAGAGAAAGAAATAGCCATCACCATTGACTTGATGCATGCCGAGGAAGAAAATCCTCCCAGAAGTTTATTTCTCGTAACCTAACCTCTAAAAAGTCGGCGTTTTGTGGAGAAACTGGTTTCATGAACTGTCATTGTGGCTTCAAGATCTTTTAAATTTTGCTTCTTTTCTGATTTTCTCCACTCTTCCACCCTTTTCTCCTAGAATTAAAAGTTGCTTTTCCGAGCTCGAGTTATCTTTCTTCGTAGCGAAATTCTACTGGTGTCTTTCTTGTGGAAGACAGAAAGTGACGGTGATGTGATTTTAAGTGGAAGTGTAAAGGGTTCTTTCTCTCGAGCTCTTGTTCTGCTGTGTGGGTTTTGGTACTTTTGGTCTAGCTGGTTGACATTGACTTGTGGTACGACTCCTAGTATCAGCTCAGAAAGAAAAGAGGAAAAAAGAAGTTAGATTGGTTGGTTAGGGCTTAAATGTTTGCTTGTGGTGGGTGGGTGGTGTAGCTAAGCTTTTACAATAATTAATTGGCAACTAAGTACCACCACTCCAGACATGTCGGAAAAAAGCTTGGTAGATTTTCATCTCAATTTATTTTGCATTATGGTATGACTCTGTTGCTAATTTGAAATAGATGTGTGGATGATAGGATTTTGAAACTTGGTTTGTGCACATCTCAAGTGTAAATCAATGCAATCCGAGTCTGTCTCTTATTGTTTTGCAAGTAATGCGCAATTTATTTAATCCGAAAATTAATATAGTTGAGCAATAAAAAAAGTACTAAAAATACAAATACTGATGAACACTAAATTATACCTAACACGCAAATTAATAATTAAACTGTCTTAATTAAATCCTATAAATAGAGTAATACAATGTTGCTTAAATTACATGTTGCTATTGCTATCATTTTTTTAAAAGTTACGGTAGCACATATTTCAATAATTGATTGTATCAAACAAACGTTAAAATCCTTGCATGCAATAAAATCATTGTTAATAAAGTTTCATATTGAAACCATGCATCGCCTCGTAGTAATGATAATGTACCAAAGGTAATACGTAGTTATTTGTAAATGACTTACGATAATATCAAACGAATATAAAAATATCAACGTTAATTGTTGATAATCATCAGTAAATTAGTTAAGTCTCAGAATGCCTTCCACCCAAAACGAATGACGAGATAGCATTGATGACCACAAAGGGTGGTCGTACTCCATGCGAATATTTCCTAATAAGTCGTTATTTGATAAAAGGTCGTGGTTCCACAGAGTAATTTCTAGACCATCGTCCCCAGCATCGTCAAAGGTAAGGGTCTGATTCCACACGGGATTGTAACTGCGGCGACATATCGATGTTTTGTGTTTTCTCGACTTGTCCGATAGTAGTGAACTGTAGTGAAATAAATAGGACGTAGAATTAATTAGTATTGTCATAGTGGACGTTTTTAAAAGCTACACAAACCAAACAAGTACAAATTGTAAGACAACAAGTTAGCATACGTTAATTAACTCTAGCATTATGAAAGCATATTTAGATATATTGAAGAGTCAGTCACAGATAGATATTATGATGAGCATCACATGATAATAATAAACCCTGTTACATGAGTGAGTTTACATGAGTCTACACATAGGGAGCACGATTAAGAAATTAGACGCATTTTAGAAACCCGGATTAAAATTTTTAAATCCAAAGAGAAACTGAACGACAATTTTTTGGTGAACACTTACCCACAACCTGACTGAACTAAATGGATGCTCTGGCCCAAACATTTTGTGTTGGGACCAGAGGAAGCGAATGTCTAAAGAAGAGAAGGATGGAAAACAATAGAATTTTGGTCAGAACTTATGTACAAGTTGTGTTGGGAATTGCATGCAAGAAGGGCCTACATTCGGATCTGTTGTAAAAGAGGAGGTGAAGTTTCAATAATATGTGAGACAGTGATTGGAAGAAGTGTAATAAAAAATAAATAAATGTTGTAACCTCAAAAATCTGCACACAATAAAATCTGAAAGAAAATATCCTTACCATTTGATCAGGGAAGATGGGCTTCCTCCATTTTTTACAGGAGTAAGATTCACCAACGTCGCTTCTTTCACCAGTACTGACAATTTGCCAGTACTATCAGTCTTAGGTTGCCTGTAAAGTAGTTATAATTATTAGTCTCAACCTAATCAGAGGGAAACCAAGAGAAGATATTTTGTTATACATACCACTTGAGAGCTATCACCACATCCCCACGTGACATGTCTTCAGTTTGACCAGACTTTAAGAAATAGGTTGAACAGTTATTGTTAGAATTTTTATACTACTAAAATAGCCGATGTTGAAAAAATACCATTTCTTGAAGATCCCATGGCTGTGGATTTGGATCATCGAAAACTCGATCCTTCAACTCGACTAGGACCTCTCCAAGGAATATATTCTTGCCAAACATATCGCTGTGCCACACGCTTAACCAAAGGGTTCGGTTTTGTAAATCCGATAAAGTCAATGGGAACTATGTATGACACAAAAAAAATTCTAACTCCATACTAATTCAATTCTTGAATGCATAAATTGGGACTACCTTCAATATTTCTTCAAATATAGGATTTAGAGTATTCTTCTTAACTTTTGTTTTCCTTTTGCCTCCTTTTGATCGGTCAGGTAACAAGTAAGCTTTGACATAGCTGCAGAAGTGGAAACAAAAAAGTGTTGGAATCATCAACATATTAAATAACATAGTACATAAAAGAATACTACACATTTGTCAGACTTACGGATCACTACGGTTTCGTTTGGCATCAACTGCAGCCAATTCACGGCACTTTGATACACGAACCTCCAAACATGCGAGTTTATAGTTGTACTGCAGAGAAACAGACAGATGCAGAAACTTTGTATTAGTAAAAGTTTAATATAAATAAATAATAAAATATGTACTCACCTGCAGCCCAAACTCCACTTGACCTTTGACTGGGATGTGGGGTTTTGTGGCATCATGAAATATACTTCCAACGGAGTCGCTTCGGGCCTGCAAACATGACACGTAATAATGTTAAAAAACTCTTTACTATAGAGCAAAATGAAAACATTGTAAGGACAAAAAGAGGAACATAATTTGTTACCTTCAGTCCAGGATCTTGAGTGAGTATAGGAGTTGATTGACTTAGGATCGAATTGGGTTTTACTCCCTCGTCTTCACTCCTCTTACTTTTAATTGGGTTAAATCCGGGAGGTCGATATCGGGCTAATATGTATCAATATAATTTTGAATTATTTCATTGTTTTCATAAATTTTCGATAAAGCAACTCTCTGACTACTCCTACCTGATTTTATTGGACCTGTTGGAGTAACAGGCGAGTCGACCTCGTCCACTTTTCCTCCTGGCATAACTAGACTATAAGCTCTAGAAATGGAAAGATTGTTCGTTTGATTCAGTCGAGGTAATGAATTTGAATTTGAATTGCAGAGATTTGTCATTCTTGGGAGAGATGAAGTCGACTCTTCTTCATCCTTGTGTTCCTCTACTTGCCCCAAATGATGTAATGAATTAGCGAGGTGATGAAGTGACGAAGATCTTAGTATGGACCTGCAATTTTTGTAAGTAAAACGTTACGAATTAATAAAGTTCGATAAAATAATGATTATTTTATTATTGTCCCAAACCTGTCTTGTGGAAAATCTGAACTTGAAATAGAATCAGTTGATCCAACACTTTGTCGCTTTGCAGCCAATGCACTCTCGAAGCTTCCCTTCCAACTAAAACGATCTTCATTCAAATCAGAACTGACACTTTGAGCACATTTTAACGTCACATTGTCATCATTATTGTCGTCGTCTTGCATATTCTCATCTTTCATCCAGACTTGCAATCTGTTTCCTATGTGGTTCATTACTTTTGCCAACAGTTCAGGACTTTGCTTCGGAGAAATGTGAGCTGAATTTGACTCCATTGTAGTTTGCAGAGTGTGTAACAGTTCCGGGTCTTCTAGATCAATTTCACCAAAATCACTGTTATCGTCAGCATTACTGCTAGATTCCTTTACAACTTTAATGAACTTGTAAACGTCGTCCACATCACTTTCCTCAGAACTAAAATATTCTACGATATTTTTCAGATTTTCCGTTTTCATGAGACGAATCAGTTCGCCTTCTAAATACGCAAGTTGTTTATCTTTATCTTGATAATTAACAGGGGCTCCGCTTATTGTCCCTCCAGAGCTTTTACTTGGTTCTGCTTTCGCTTTCACTAGATTACGAATTAATTGTCTCAACTTTGACATCATGATGTTGACTTCTTCATCCGAACTCTGTAAGAGGCACAAGTTATAAGCATGCAATACGGAACAAAATAATTTGAATTTGATAATAGTAATCCTACCCATTGAAAACTATTGCTTCTATTGACTTTAACCACAGGACGATCCTTTTCTCGATCACCACCACTTTCACAACCACTTGGAGATGATTTTTTAGATGCTGGAGGAGATGTTGGGGATGTTGAGGAAGAGTCTTCTTTAGAAGATGAAGTACTATTAGAAAACGACTTTTCCAACGGATTTTTGATCACTCGACTAGTATTATTGCTGTTACTACTACTAGATTCTCCATGAAGGAGGGAAGGTCGACAAGCACTGTTGGAAGAGGAAGCACTCAAAGGATTTTCTGAAATTTTCGAGGACCCACTAACGACGGGAGCAACCCCACAAGACTCGAGTAGATTACTGTCACTTCCACTCTTCTTGCTACCTTTCCGTGCTGTTTTCTTAATTGTATCAAAGCCATCTTGTCCAAAACCAAAATCTTCTTCTTCATCAGAAACTTTATCACCAAATTCATCCTCGAAATCTGCAGACCGCCTGTGATGTTTCAGAACTTTCTTCCGGTTTTCTGAAACAACATCAGGGTAACATATTTATTACATTCGACCATATAAGTAATATGCATCACAAATGGCGAGGTTAAATTAAATTATAAACCAACCATACCTAAGACGCTGTTGTCCGACTCTGACTCAGACCCGACTGCAAGAAAATAATAAACATCAACTTATTTATAAACCATCCATGCATGACATTGTTCGTATAAAAGACTTGACAGGATTTCATGTAATTGCATGATTCGTTCGTTGATTGATTTCAAAATGTGGGATTAAGTATTATTGTTTAAAAAAGAATTACAATAGTTGGAGATGATGATAATCCTTACCTGAATCAGAATCCGCAGTTTGATTGATAGAGCTAATCGGATTCATCATTGATTGAGGAAGTCCCAAATTGTAAAAATCTTAAAGCATAAATTAATCGCAAATTATTAAATTAAATTCACATAAATTATTTAATTGCATTATATAATTTACATTTTTCTAATCTCGACGATGCCAATTCTGCCGGATCCATTTCGACAGAAGCCCGTTGCTTCCGTCCATTATTATTGTCACCAACCAGAGATGCTTGGTCATGGTCGTGGTCATCTTGCATTGAGAAACTCGATTCACTGAATTCTGTGTCTGAGAATTCAGAATCTTCATTTGTACAGCTCTGTCGACCCCCTTCCTGTGAGCCATTGTCACCAATGTTAATACCAAAGTTAAAGTATTTCTCTAGCTCGTTGTCATTTCGTTGAGGTTGAGTCTTTAATCTTCGTTGTTGTTTTTGATTGCCGTGCTTTTGTGGTGAATTAAAGTTACCACTTTCGGCCTCTGACCATTCCTCACAAGACTCTTCAACTATTGTATGCAAAGTGAGATCCAAAGGAGGGGGTTGAGCTTTACGACACATTTGTATTGTGTCGGTGTCATCATCTTCTTCAAAAATTATTTCCTCGACCCAGCTATCTTCATCCGATGTGACATCAAATTGCTCAACCATGGGGGTTGGAGAATCATTTTCAGGTTCTGTTGTCGTTGTGGAATCATCTCTGTCGGCATCGGCTCCGTCAGGGGATGACCGGCTGGTGGACTCGGTGATTCGACTTAAAGCGTTTTGACTGATTTCCGATTTACTGAAAACCTTGCTATTATTTCCGGAGGAAGAACCTTTCGAAGGATTTTCCATAATGACGACTTCACCAAGTCGTAGAGATTTCTTTGGTTCAAGTTTCTTTTTTATAATATTCTTTTCTGGTACTTCAGCTACTACGACTTTGTCATCATCGGGATGGATGGTAGGAACTTCTTGCTCTTGACCTTCGGGGCTGAAAACGAAAAATACGCTACTTTAGCAAGTGGTGGGGAAAAAATTCAGTGGATCAGAGATTAGTCACTTGTAACGTTGTGCATCACAACTTGTGCTCGACCATGTACATTACTAACAAGAGTACTGTCTATATACGACGTCGTATATAGACACCATACTGAAGGGACCCTATCGGGTCCCTCCCAGATGAAAATTTTTCCAGCTTTCCAAAAAGCTTAAAATCTGAAACGAGATATGGAAAAGTTCTTTTATTGAGTATGTTAAAAACTGATGATACAAATTTACAGAATTAGTTACAACTTGCAAAAATGAATTTAGCAAACAATTTTGAAGAATACGTTAAATAGACTGGCATTGGTCATGTTATCTTTTTTTCATGAAAAATTGTGAATTTCAATCTTTGAAAATTTTGGCCCATTGTGTTGAAGCAAGGAAAAATTGGGGTTTGAAAAAACTTTTTGTAATGCTTAAAAGAAGTTTAACATTTAAATTTTGTTGAAATTTCAAAAAATGGCGAAATTCAAATTTAGAAAATTTTGCAGAATTTCGCAATTTGAAAAAATGGCAAATGCCTTAATCGTTTTTTTACAGATTGGTGATCAGCATGAAATCATAGACAGGTGTATAATTTATAAACTTCATTTCATCATTCTGAAGGCTGTTATCTATGTTACAAACATTTGAAAAATGGCACGTTTTGGAGTAGCTCTCCTCAAATATTTCGCGACAACGTGATTTTGCACCGTATGTTCTATGAGAAAGTTTAAGTTACACTAAATTATCTATCAAATATGACTATCCGAAAGGAAATCGAGATGGGACACTACTTAAGGTTCCCCTGTAAGGAGTAGGCATTATTAATAATAATATATTATTTGCATTGGACTTTTACCTCTCCCTTCTGGGATGAAATGTGGTAGATTTGTTGTTGACATTGTTGTTGCTGGTGGGGACGGCTCGTGGACAACTCTTGGCATTTTTGGATCTGTCGATTTCTTCGTCTAAATTGCACTTGACCATGTCCTCCTCCAATTCTTCAGGCATTTGAACAAGAGGTTCTTGCTGAGATGTTGAGTGGAGGTCGTTGTCAAACTGTTTTATGACGTTGTCTGACGATCTTGTTAACGATTTTTTCCTAGAATTTTCACTACTGACACTCTGCCTTCTTTTGGTTATTGCTATCAAAGTATTGCGATCACTAGTATCACTATTACTACTGCTATTACCAATATTATCTATTGACTTGACATTTTTTCTCTCCGCTTTATCTTCCTTATCTATTATTCCGTTATCGTGCAATGCCTCATTGTTTGAATTTGCATAAATTTTGGCACCGCTAACACCACTATCACTAATAGCTGCTGATGTGGCTTTGACACACTTTGTTGTCGTTTCACGAAATGTTGATTCATCTGTCGTCACACCACTTCCGATATCCTCCTCGTTGTTATCCAATAAATCAATGCTGGATATGTGTATTTCCGGATCACAGTTATAAAACATCCCACCACCACCTGCTGATGATGAGGGTGATAATAGTGGAAGGGATTCACTCGAAGAAGATCCATTTCTGGACGCCGACTTGTTATCAACGCCACGGAAAATCACAGTGTTCTTTGTACTCTCCGAATTCCAATCTGACCCATCGCCATCATCTTCAATGGACGAAGATACACTTTTCTTTGGTGTTGATGATTCACTACTGCCACTACTCCCATTGTCCGTTACTAGCCTAATGTCTGCCTCTTCATAATTGCCCACCTTGCCTGCTGATTGCAAATTAGTCTCATTAGCATTGTTTATATAACAAAAATGTTTATGTACATATTATCATTGTCTCGCGAAACTTACCCGTAGCATGCCTATTCCCGTCATAGTGGTTGTCCTCTTCATCGTGGCTATGTTGTTGTTCCCGTTGTTTCGCCAGTTGGGACATTCCAGACGAATAAACGTCATTCTTTTCTTTCCAAAGTGATTCATTGTTGACCTTTTTGAGTGTTGCTCTCCTATGGTTAAGAAAAGCTGAAGCCGCCTGCGAATTAACAATCCCGACATCCCCACTTATCTCAACTGTGGTCACATTTTGATGTGGCTTCCGGTTTCGACCACCTTGACGAGGGATGGATGGAATTTGGGGTGACGAAGGTCGAAAATATTCCTCTCCTTCACTCCCACCCGCACGGTTATTATTTACTAGCACGCTCGACTTGAATTTCTGAAGGGGGGCATCATCATTGGCGACAGATCCTTGTGGGAGTGAAGACATTGGCGAGATGTCGAAATCTTGTGATGTTGCTGCCCCTGGGAAAAACTCACTTTGCGAAAATTTGAAATTTTGGTTCTTTCCACTTTTAGCACTACCAGTAAAAGAAGATAGTAACGAAGCTGGAGAAAGCAACAGGTTGTTGTTTTTATTGTGCTGCTGCTGCCCTTCAAAGTTTTCTAGCTGCCTTTCTTCCTTCTCTTGAGGCTGCGCATTTTCAGAGTGAAATTGAGACAAGGATTGAAATTGGGGCTGAATGGGATAATTGAGACTACTTTCACCACCGAATAAATAAGAAGATGAGGAATTTTTATCGGTATTATTATTATTACTCCGGATTATTCCTCCCTGCAGATGATTTCTTGCAATCTCGTTGTGGTGATTGTGATTGTAAAAATTGTGTTGAATTGTTGAAGTCTTAGCCGTAGGCAGTAGTGGTGGTGGGTCAGTCAACCTCGACAACGTCGGATTACTACCATTTCTTACTAACGGGGTAGTAGTAGTTGAAATGCTTGGTAAAGAAGAATGATCAACCCCTTTACTCTTTGTTGATGAAATCCCATAATGAAATTCACTTGCACTAACATCATCATCATCAGCATAATATTTTGTAGGAGGTTCTTGATTACGAAGTAGGTTGCAACCAGTATCCTGTCCATTGTTTCCCAACACCACCACCTGCCTTGAAGAAGTCAACCCTTTCTTACTTTTGCGATCCCCGTAATGCGAAGAAGAAGACAAAGAATAATTTGTATGAGGGGAGTTGGTGGTGGTGGTGATGTCTTTTGGCAGAGATTTTGCACTACTTGTTGCTCTTACTATACTACTGCCGACAAGAGTTTCTCTGTAATTGGTATTCTGATTATTATTTTGATTAGAGGAGACGATTTGATTATGATTTTGTAGGTTTGTTTTTGGCTGCTGGTATGCATGACTTGTCATCCTTGCCTTTGTTTTGTTGGAATTATCAGGAGATGAATCCATTTGTGAATAGAATATGAAATCTTCGCCGGCATCTTCATCATCCTCGAATGATTTAAAGATTTGATCACTTTCATCTCCTGCTTCACCGATTTCGCCAAGAGCTTCTTCTTCTTCCCCATCAATGCTTTCGCATTCTTCAGAAGCGTGGAAAAACTCGTATGATTCCTGAACGTTGGAGAGATATGAGGATGCTGAGGAGGATGTCGAACTGGGGGTCAGTTGGTCAACGGAAAGGCTGGAGACTTTTGTCAAGTCTTCGGAGTCATCGTCGGCGAATGGTTGTTCCATTTTGGGGTCCAATTTTGCGCTATTTTTCTTAAGAAATGAACGTTTTGGTTTTTGCGGAGTTTTATTTAAAGGTCTCTGTTCCGTGGGAAAGGAATTCTTCAAAATGCCTGCTTTAGTGAATGACTCGCTCCTCGCCACACCAACAGAGGCACCAGAATCCCGTACAACTGCATTACTATTTGATCGTGTTATTGAATGGTCGGCAGCAGTAGAATTGTTAAAGTAATCATTTTTATCTGACGGAGATAATGCAATAATCGGATTCAGGGTTATCTCTTGTATAACACTGGCAGCATGATTTTGATGATGTTGCTGCTTCTGCTGTTGGGTAAGAAGCTGGGTTGGTGATGGAGAGATGTAGGTGATGGAATCTCTCGTCTCAATTGACCTCAGACCTCTACTATTCAGATTGGCCTTGTGACCCTTTTTGCTATTTTTGTTAGCTTTACTTTTCACTTTGGCAATTGCTCTGGCCACAAATCCACCACCACCTCCACTGTTATTATTATGGGGCGATTTCTTGTTTGATTTTGTAAGTGTTTTATTATCAGAAACTCCACTATTCGTAGATGAGTAAACACCTTTTGTTGCTCGGCTGGAGGATGATGCGTAATGATCAGAATCGAACTGAGAGGAAATGGGGACACTCCCGATAATATTATTGCTATTAGTGGTTGGTTCTATATCATCACCAGACGTGCCCAGGTGTGCTCGGAGCTTATTAAAATTATTATTCACCGGAGAAGGATTTGCAGCGTTATTAGTATTCGTTCTGCTGCTCCCCTTATTATGCTTACGCTCGTTCTCCTCAGTCATTTCGATAATATGCTGTTCGAACCTTACAGCTTTGGGGAGAACATTATTGCCCGTTGTTGGTAATGCCTGCAATTTTCCATTTATAATTTCATTAGCCATGCTTCCATCATAGTCATCATCACCACCCATTGTTCTTCCATGGTTAATTGACGTGTTGTTAAAATTATGGTGGAAATCAGGGTGAGTAGTGTTAATAAAATCATGATGGCTATTATTACTAACCTCTGTTCCATCCAATTCAATTTCGACGTCGGCAGCATCACGTTGTTTCTGATGATTACTATTTTTACGACGTGTTCTCGGCGTCGCAATTGGTGCTGGAGATGATAAGTCTCCAGACAATTTGTCAACCACTTGTTGTTGTTGACCCGATAATTCGGACGACCCAGACTTTTGGTTATAGTTGGTTGTCATCTTCATTTTAGATTTGGTTAACTCGCTAGCACTGCCAGTATTACTGTTGCTAATTTGAATGTCTGCTGATGATGCAGATTTATTCGTCCCTGACAATTTGCTCGATTTGGTGTTTGGATTGGTCAAACTGTTGCTGTGATTTGCAAACTGAGATTGATTTTCAAGGATAAACTTATTTGCATTAGATTGAGACTGAGCAGAATGAGACGATGGAGACACAGTTTCTCCTCCTCGAGTAGAAGATTTGAGGTCTCGACTTGCTCTTGGCTCATTTGGCAGAAAATGAGAGTTGTTGTTTTTGTTCGTGATGAGGGGATAATTTGTCCCAGTTCCATTAGCACGATGTTTCTGCTCCGGATTTATTTTTGGAACATTACTACTACTACTAGCATGTACATCTGGGTTACTCGTCAGTTTCGCTTTCCTTCTCAATCGAGGGGATGCCACGGGTGGGTCGGATATCATGAATGGATCTGCTACTTCGACATCTTGTTCGAACTTGGTGTCAAAGATGGAAGTCTTTTGAACTCTGCTTGGTCTGACCCTGTCCAAACTTTTGGTCTTTTGAAAGTAGATATCTCTCTCGCGGGATAATCTGGATTTGAGAATTCGTATTTATTGTTTAGGTTACATATTGCTTAAAGTCTCATAACAAACGGAATGAGAAACTTTGAATGCATAGAGTGAGAAAACCCGCAACAAAGGTTTCATTCCCTCGTTCCCTTCATTTACTGAGCGATTAGTTAACTTGGTTCTTGCATCAATTTAAATTTTGACAACATGATAAGTGACACAGAATTATTACGACAGTGTCCTAAAGAGGGAGTGGATCTGTATTTTTGGAAGGATGAAGACAATGACATTCAAATGAATGTAATGACACATGAAGACACCAAAAGTAAGTTCTATGCCATATTAATTAAATTCTGACATAAATGACAATTGATTTTATTACTCAGGGGATCAAACAAATTTCCTTCAGTCTACTGACCGACAAGTACGGCGACATGAGGGACATGACGGTAAACTTGGGAGGTGGGGATGAATGTTTGGTACGGAAAACCGAATCGACTATTTGTCACTTTGAAAGTGACCCCTTCAACCTAGACGGATGCAAAATAAAGTAAGTTACAAGTGGGCCTACCTGTTGTATATTGAACAAATATTTAAAACATTGAGAACTTTGGAATTACATTTAACAATAAAAAATTCATAGGGAACTTGAAGAACAATGGGGGTGGAAAGTCGACCCTAAGTTGTCCTACTCTTTCCGCATTTACACAAACGATGCATGGGTCGCTGACCAATTAAAATCCTACATCCGGAGAAAATTCGGAGTTGTGTGCGCCAAAGCTCCATACAGTTCAGAAGTAGTTTTGGCTAAACACGCTTCAAAACTCGATGATCATTTAAGACAATTTCTCCCTCGTCTTCCTCAGATACGGGAGGATTATTTTAACAACCCACCTCCTCCTCCTCCAGACAAACTGCAAAATCCAAGACATACACCACCATCAAATGAAAAACGCCGATGCGAGTTGTGTTCTGAAACTCTAATTGGTATTGGGGATAGTCATTCTAATCACATGAAGGTATGCATTCTTTTCCTTTCACATCTAAGCAATATAAGTTTTATTTCATATGCTATTTATTTGTTTAGAACTGCCACTACACTGGACCGAATGCATTTCCTTGCGATTTATGTCCCTGCACTTTTCAAACAACAGCAAGTCGAAAAATACATCGGGGGTTGTTCCACCAAGGTGCAGAACCACAAAAAAGGAATACGTTCGGTATTGTCGACATTAGTGACGAAAATGCTGCTAAATGCGATGTCCATTTGGATCTTATTCCCTCGGAGAAAGGGTCAAAAGCGGCCAAGTATAGGTGCATGTGGAGAGGACAAGGAGGTGAAGAATGTGGAACAACTTTGGCAGGATTGACTATTTCTCGGTAATTCACTGTTTCTGTATTTTGTGAGAAACAATATTTTGATAAGATGGATCTTATTATGTTTTTTAGCGACCACATCTGCTCCCATTTAGGACTTAAACCTTACAAATGCCCTGCGTCTGGGTGCAATTTTGTGTCTTCTAGCTTCAGCCGTGCTGTCCGTCATTTCAGAGTATGTACTTCACTTTATATTAGAATTCCTAGATCATCTATTAAATAGTCTTTATATGTTAGAATTCACATGAAGGAAGAGAGTCTGAGGAGGAAGAGGTGAATGAACAAGATGAAGAACCCCCAGAAAAAAAGACGAAGCCTTCTGCCAAACCACAACAAACCAAGGGGACAAGACAGAGTTATTAAATAATCAACATATTAATTGTACTTGTTAAACGATAAAAGAAGTTGAAGATGAATGAAATAAAATCTTCCTCGAAAGTTAAGGGTTATTTGTTTGTGATACTTACTCGATATCTCTTTCAATTTCCTGTTCCACGTTGCTGATTCTTGTTTTCTCTTTGGAGAAAGCATCATCAACCGGGGGGACCGGTTCCCGTTGGTGTTGTTCATTGAGAAAAAATGACTTTTGTTGTCTATGCTTCCTAACGTACGGATGTGGAAGAGTAGCACTCCAGCCGATGGGTGGAGTTGGACCGATACCAAAATCATCACGACCACGACTACCTCCACCAGCCCCACTACCACCCACCGTCGAATCCGATTGTTTCATAAAGACAATTGGGTCGACAGTAGTAGTGCTGGTTGATGGATGATAGCCATCATTGTTGCTATTATTATAGTGCTGCTGCCTATTCAATTGAACTTCACTTCGGGCTCGAGCCCGACTGGTTGCTCCAATGGGTTGGAAATATTGTTGATCCAGATTGTCGTCCCAACTTTTAACAAAATCATCATGCGAGGACGAGTTGATCAACGTGGTGCTCGTGTGGCGTACCCTGCTGCATTTTGGCTCTGGTTCAAAACTCTTGTCTTCTTGTGCTGACTCCTGCTGCGATTTGAGATTATTATGCTTCTGCTTTTGCACTCGGGGGAAAGTAGAGCACTGCCGAAGATAATTATCAAAGGTTTGAATTTGTTCACGCTGGAAATTCTGAAAGTCAGTCATCTGTGACTGGACGAAGTCACTACTTTTCTTTGAAGTTGGGATAAAGCATTTCTCATTAGGAGTGGGACGCCCACCACTGGAATTACCAGGCTCAATTTTGTACGGACTACTTGTCCAAACTGGATTTTGAAGATTTTGACTCGGACTTCTGAGAAAGTTTTCCATCACGGCGGCCGTAGTTTTGTCGTCCAAGAGGGAACTGAGAAGTGGAGGGGCTTGATTTGCGGATGTCAGAGTTGTTGACACTGATTTTCCATTCGTCCTAATTAGAGGCAAAGTAGCACTATCATACCCGTGGAGGCGGGTCACACCAGCAGAATTAGGACCAGAATTGGGACTTGATCTCAAGTTGACCACGCTTAAAAATTGGGCTCCAGTGCGGTCTCGTTCTTCTGGATCGTATGTAATAATAGTAGAGGGATGATGATGATGTTTATTTGCTGAAGAGATCTCACGGTGAGACTGAGACCTTACAATTCTCCTCCCACTATTCTTCTCAATTGGAAATTTGCTCCCATTATTTCCACCCGTGGACTGAAAATCCTTCCCCGATGCGGACGACATGGATCGAGTTATCTCAATTTTAGACACATTTCTTCCTCTCCGATCTTCAACAGAAGTGGGAGAAGAATTAGACGAGTTTTGTGAAATGCTATTAGTCTGTCTTTGTCTAGAAGGAGAAAACTTTGCGTCTTCTCTTTCAATTCTAATTACCCGTTCACGAGGAAGGCTGTGGAATTTTGTGGCAGAGTTATTAATATTAAACTCTTCCTCTTTGGAGGAGTTTATACGAATGTTGTTGTTGCTAGTATTGGAAGTGGTAGCATTATTTGAGCCGTGTTGATTTTTCGCTTTCATGTTAGAGCTATTGTTCTCTCCAGTTAAAGAAGAAGTAGAGGTTACGCTATTGGCATTGGCACTAATGTTATTGGCTCTGGGCACGACATTCTCCTTCATAACAACCACGTATGTTCGCAAGGGTGAGAATAACTTCTTACCGTCGTAAGAATTTAAGCTACATGATCTCTTTGCGTTGCATTTACGCTCCGGTTTCACTGGAGTGGATGTCGATGGATGAGAATTTGTGGAGAATAGGTTGTTGTTCGTGGTCCTGATATTACTTGCCGTATTGGTTGTCGAAGTACTGGCCTCTTTCCGAGTATCGCTCATCGGACTCATATTCACCGGTGTTACGGAGGCGAATTTATAAAAATTTGTACTATTCGCATCCGGTCTGAATCTTCGTGACGAGGAACCAGCCGTAGTAATTTGACTGTTTTCTTCCTGGTCATATTTAGAATTGTCATTTAGCTCCGTGTCAGATAACGAGTTGTAGTTGCTGTAGCTGTAATTTTTCGAGTAGTCGCAGTCATAAGTGTCACCCAAACTCCGCTCGCAACTTGATCTGTTTGAATGTGACGTTCGCAAATTCAGCTTCAACAGTCGATCCATATCGGATTCTAATTTGTTTCGAATAGAGTTGCGTCTTTGAAGAATGCTTGCAGATCCTCCTCCTCCGCTTGAAGAAGTTAAAAGAGAGCGAAATCTTGTGGGGTGGTTCCTTTGGTGGTGATGATGATGACCTGACGTTCTTGGTGACCCCGATAAAGGAGACGACGAGTCGATATCGTAGTCATAATAATCCCAGAAAAAAGAGTCTTCAATAAAATTTATAGAAGCTGAGGGCGAAGGTGGAGTCGCGGGGACTTGGTACGGATGCAGAGTTGATTGGAAGGAGCGGTGGCGTTTTATATCTGCAAAATTTAAAAAAACATTTAGAAAATTATTAATATTTTTTAAAAAATATGCAAAACTACTTTCTATCCTCCTCCTCCTGACACTGAAATGCTCAATAGCTCACCAGCAAGTGAATGAGTCAAGTATTTTTAAAAGATTTAAATTTAAACTGATCCCACCAAGTTAAGTTGTTCTATCCATCTTTGAATTTTGGACGTAATCATACGCCTTCGCCTCGAGATGATTTGCATACAAATAGTAAACTCGTATTTAGCTTGACAACAATTTTAACCCTTTCGCCTTCATTGGAAGAGGAGGACGGTTTAAAGTTCAATGCTAAAAGCTACACCTAATGCGTAATAAATACTTTTCATCAAATTTGATGAAAAAGTATCTGCCTCCTCCCTGCCTATGCCATATTGGGTTTGGGCTAAGCCGAGGTTCAAATTGCATACATACGGACTCCTATTCTACGTCAGAGTCCCCTAAACCGCATATTTACATAAGTACGTATCTTCTTTTTAAGAACATTTCACTTAACAAATCCTCCTCATTTTATGTGCAATCGCATTTCAGATGGAACAACAACTTATTAATGGCATTTTCTAGAGGTTACATAGGTTCTTCCTCGAAATGGAAACGCCGTGTCACAACACGTGTTTATTTTAAGAGCTTTGTGACAGTAATGAGTCGTAATGTGGTGTATTTAATCACCTCGTATATTTGCTTAAGCATTAATAAAAACAAACTGAGGGACGCCATTGGTATGTTTTTTTAATTGTATTATGCCATTTTTCATATCCATTTGGACGTTGGCATTTATTTATTTATTATATTATTTATGATGAAGGTGTGTTAATGTCAAATCGAATGAATATTTAATAAGAAGAAATATTAAGGTGCTGAATGAGTAATGCACCGAACTGCTTACATGATGAATTTTAAACCATGGTGGAAGTAGAGTCATATTTACTAGCTGCTCAAGTCGGCGTTGTACTCACAACTTGTTTATTACTTGGCCAAACTTATGCATGCCAATAAACTTATGCATTTATGGAAGTAATTTGAATTTAAGATCTTGTTTTGACTTTAATTAATGTTTTTGGTTCTATTATTATTCCTCGTATCGTGAACTTGGCTATGTCTGCCGATATAGTCCGACAATAACAACGCATTTTAATACGCACTAAAACATTGCACTTAAACTTTACACGTCACTCACCGACCGACCGAATTGTTCAAAAATAGTTATATGTAAATACTTCACACTAAATATTATCAAACTTGCTCTGGATCCTCCACTCGCAGAACTAAACTAACTTTGCAGTTCAATTGTTTCATCTGCACGCATTGTCCTTAAAAAACATCAAACTATGTTTGGTTTCCTTAAATCCTTACTACTTTAGCGTGACCTTAAAGCTTAACCTTTACGCTACCCTAAATAAATACATATGATCGTTTCCCTTTTCACTTTACTAGAAACTGAAAAGGATTAAATGGAAACAAATTCTCATTACTCACACATCGTCATCATGTCCACGTCTTAAATAAATGAATAAGCTTTTGTAATGCCCAAAAATATAAACTGGCCCAAGGACCAGCAGAGAACAGAATATGTAGTAAATAGAAACCTAACAAGCAAACAATCCTTGCACCCATCTCAAATCTTATCGAATTTACGACAAGTGAAATAAAAATCCAAACAGATACATAATTGTGCAGTATTCCATTTCATTTCATTCCACACACTCGCTGGTCGAATATAAATGAGTCAAAAAATAATCAACCCACCACGAACGACAATGACCATTAAAAACGGCGATATCAAAGTGTTCATGTTTCTAACCATCGCACTAAAACAATACACATACAAATTGTCAACTCTTATTTACTAGTATGCACCACAACGAAGACAAGAGTGTGCCTTTTTCTTGGATTGACTTTATGCAAATATTTTGGCACACACATCTCACACTTTTGTTTGACACGTACGTGACTAGACGGTCAGTCAGTTATTTCGGCAAATCTTTGCAACAGAAGCAGTCGTCGAGGCAGTCGAGGCCTATCAACTGTCCACCTAATTATCAATAAACGTTTTGCAAATCATCACAAAAATAAATATTATGGGCTGATAATTGATGCAACGAGTTAAAAGATAATAAACAGGTCATTTAATTTCAACTCGTCGTAAATAATAATAAATTGAATTTGACCCACCCCACACACTAAAATTCGGAGGGAGGAAATGTTATCCTGTCACCATTATCTGTCAGTCAGCCGTAAGGTCTTGTAGTACAATGTCCTTATTTAACCAACGAAATGTCAAGATACACCAAACAAATTGGAGAATCTGGTAGGAGTTGTATATTTTGTGTCCCATGCGGGGGGTGACCCTTCTGTGGACCTCGCATCTTCTGCTGACAGACAATACAAGAAATACAGCACGTCGCAGGATGACTAGCTTGTGGAGGATTCTATAGCTAAATATCATGAACTTGAATGAGTAACATGTGAAAATTTGAATATACAATTGTGATATTGGCAAAGATAAGAAATTACATACGACATCAATTTTATGTCGTGTCACCAATCTGTCGAATTATGTTCATTTCGACTGGATAAAATAAATTCATAGAATAAATCCCATGCTTTTAAAATCGAATAAAATATTTGAATGGGAGAGGTTCGTCCGATCAATTACTCCATCTTTCAGCTGACATGCCACGGCTAGTTGTCACTGATGAAGATAAGATTTTAAAATGTGATAGAGGCAACTTTATTGCAAGTGAGTGTGTAACTGTATCTGAATATAAAATAGAAACAGATACTCGTCCTGTCAGTCGGTAGCTTGCGGCGAGACTTGCATATTTAGTATTTCTTGCAGATGTGCAGTTTCAAAATGATAGATTTTCTATACTTCCAAAATTTGAAATCTATCTGGCCCTCTGGGGGTTCCTAGTTTCCGTCGTGGTCGTAACGTACGGACATAAGTGAACATACTTTATTTCTGCAGAGGACGTTAAGAAGCAAGTTAATAACCTGTCATTGCATACATAGTCGTACAACGATGGCCCCACTTAATAAAGGTTATTCAATTTTGCATAATTACTAACATCATTGAACATTCAGGAGGCGGAGTGTGGGCGGAGGCGATAAGATCACGCCCGTGGACAACAATATACTAATTTTTTATTGTTAAATTTTTACTACTACTTTTTCTACTACTGCCACACTATTAAGGGTCGAATAGTCGAATCCTCTTTTCAGAATATATGAATTTACATGTCTTCCACATTTTTTAGAGTGATTGACTGATTTATGTTTTCAGAATGGATTATAAAAAGTCATTATCGTACAACATAATTTTTAGGTATTTTGGCCCTCAATCAATATGTCACAGAGAGAGACGACTTCGTCGTCGTCATCGTCGCAGACTTCATAATCTAATGCGGTTCAAGGTTATGTGTGTAATGTTTATTTTGTACGTATGTGATAATGCTGGTTATTAAAGATACACAATGCATAACCTTATGAAATGTAAATATTTTGCCAATCTTAATCTGCTAGCGCACGATTTCTTCACTAAATGAGATTTCACGAGAAATATGGACTAAATCTGTGTACGTATGTCTCACTAATCTCTCAATACAGTGAATAATTGCCATCGGTATTGTTCAGAACAAAGTAGCAATAAATCAACAACTTGCCAATTATCGAATAAAATGGTTGTGGCAAATTAAAAAAATATAGAAAATTGTTGCAAGATGACCAACCACCATTTTTTAAAAGGTATGACATTTATCTACGGCTCCAATTAAAGAATTCTGCTCGACTAATCAACGTCGGATGTACTGATTACTGATTATTCTAGCTTGGCGTGACTTTAGCATGCCGCCCAATAAAATTAACCACAAGATGTTGTGCAACCACGTATTTGTGCACTTTGCCATTACAAAACTAGAGTATTGTTCCTTAATCAATTGAAATTATTAGATTAGCAATTTAACATGTAGCAAATAAACAGAACAATGTATTCAGTAATGTCCAACCTATTAAGCTTAATCTATGTACATACAAAATACAATCATGGGCAGAAAAAAATATAATCATTTAAACTAAACCCACACCCTTCCATTAAAACTGTAATAATGGTCCTAAACTTAACTGAACTTAATCTCCGAATTTGCTAATAACCATTCCCAACAAGTTTTTCTTTCAACTGATCCACGCCGCAGATTGCTTTCCTTCCATCTTTAAAGACAACAATGTATTTCGTGCCGTACAAAGCAAAGCAGTGAGTGAATGGTGGCATTGATTTCAGTCGTATGCACCAAGACCAGTACAACTTTTTGACCCATCCCGTTCATTGACTATTATTATTCCAATTGCATTATTATTGCAGAGCAGTAAATTCACATGATCAAATATGGACAAGACCAAATACTCTTATGAAAAAAAGCCTGTGATGATAAAGTCCGTTTCAATTCTTGCCTTCTTCTTCCTTATGTTTATTTTGGAGTCTAAAGTTTACTACCAATCAAACTAAACGCCTACAACGACAAGCACCTTCGAGAAGTTCGCATGCATTTATTGTATGGTTTTGCATCTCTCAATGTCCATGAAAGTTTTCTCGGTAATTAAACTCGATACTTTTGTTGCACGACGACGACCACGACGCTTAGGTTTCGGAGATTGTTCACCTCTTTCCATAAAGAAAAGTTCTATCGCGTTCACAACAATAGTTGTAATTCAAACTCTGCACCGACTTGACCAGCAGTATGCATACTATGCAAGCAGGATGATGTATAAGTTTTATGTTACATACTTATTACACACCGAATACAACAGCGTATTCGTGCTAAAGGTTTAAATTGGCTATTGTTGCCCTTGGCAAAACTTCCATTCCAAATCACGGCCAGCTACATAGCCGATGTATCGGCGATTAAATCGTCTTCACGTCTCAGGATTAGTAGATCTTCCTTCATGCACTTCATCCAGACCATAAAACCAAACCAGAGCAAGTTCATAGCGAATAGTGGTGAATCGCATTATGTATCGAGACACAAAAGTTGGAAAGACGAGTAGGTGGGTAAAATTATTATTATGTGATGCAATTCCTTGTTGGTTCGTTCCTTGAGAGGAAAATAATATGGGTATTCATTCGCCCTGCAGCGCAATAATAAAGAAATGCATTGTGTAATGTTGTATCAAACATCAGCTCATTTGGGAATCATTGTGTTTCGCGAGCATAAATTCAACCCACAGGGATTCTCAAAGTAGTCAATTCAATTCAATCAAAATTTTAAAATGAAGACGAATCGTTTCGTTGAGAAGGAAGGAAAGATGAGCCGAGACAAATTTCGTCAAGTACAAAGAATCGAATAAGAGGGAGTAATTACATGGTAGTACGTATGCACATCCATCCAACGCAGGTATTGTTGATTTGATGTCTTGCACAATAAATACAATCAAACAAAATTATACAATAAAATCTCAGCCCACATGTTTGCATACAGATATCAATTATTATAAATTTTGAATTCAACCCTTGCCCGGAGTTCATGGAAAAATAAATTGCACGTCGTTGTATGAAACGTGTTCTTAACTAATGAGAGCTTGCTTATTAGGCAAGAATGTGTTGGAATTCTGAATTTGATTATTAAAAAAACTTATGCATGTAAACCCAACCCGATTTTTCAATTTTCTTGCACTTTTTAAATATCTAAGCTAAGTTCACTGGCTTGGCTGCTAATCGTCATGTGATCTTCTGATATTATGAAGCGATAAAAAGAGGTGTGTATTCTTACTTTCTTTCTCGAAATCTTGATTAAAACTTCGTTTCGTTTTTTTACTTCGTTCCGAACCAGAACTCATTCTCGGCAGAGAATGAAACTGACGGTGAGCGTTTGCCCCATTGTTGCTCGGACTGTGTTGAGATCCTCCAGCGATGGATCCACAAGCTTGTCCGGAACCTGCGTGATAAAGAAATTATGACGTGATTTGCTCATCCCAAAGAATATTATAAATAAGGGGTGACGATTTGTTCCAACCGTCACAATATAAACCTGTCGTGTTAAAATTGGGGGTTCCTCCAACGCTTAGCGTTTCTTCGGGTTGAATCACAGTGTAGGATTTTAGAATTGGAGAGTTGGTCTGCGCTCTTTGTGGTGCTGGTGAAAAAAAAACGTTACAATTTTTCTTAATGCACTATTAAGTATGAAGAATTAGAGTTGTTCATTGGAATTTATATCTTGAAAACCAAATCATTAAGCCTCCTCATGCTTGTCTTACTGGAAATTGTCCAAGATCTCCGAATTGATCTGGAATCTCTGCCAAGACTTTTCGTTTTCCCGAAAATGTCGGAAGATCTGAAATTAATCGTATCAAGCTTTTTTAAGTACATGCTTCAATTTATTTTCTTGTCATGCACAGTTAGAAGAAGACGCGCGGCTGAATAGAGAGGAAAGAGAGACAGATATTTTTTTACAGTAAAGGAAATATCTATGTACATAAATTCAAGGAACGGAAAATGACCATTGAATAAAAAAGAGTGTAATTTACAATGCGGCGGATAAATGAAGTATTTAGATCAGTGGTGCATACGAAATGATTTATAGCGGTGTATGCGCACCGTAAAATCTTTGTAATAATTTATTTAAATGCAAGTGGACTAAATCATAAATTACAAAGTCGTGTTCTGCTTGTTATGATCAGTTCAAAGTGTACATTGTTTGCTTATGAATGACAGTAGAGTAGAGTAGTGAAATGAATCTGCTTAAAACGAAAAAGCACAGTTTGTTGGTTTTGTGTAGAAAATGTGCTATAAAATTTTATTGTAATTGTATGTAACCAATCTCATGATATCCTAGTTTTACTTTGAAATTATTTTTAATGCAAATTCATCCACATCATCATCATCATCTAGGAACGAGTATAATTCCTTAATCTTTTTGCATATCAGGCTTTTGCTCACCATTAAAATTTAGACGTAAGCTGTAACACAATTTCTGTAATACCACTTGCTACAATCTCCCGCTGTTAAAGTCCTGTTAATGCAATAATTTAAGTTTGGGTTCATTTTCCTATGAAAATTGAAGAGATGTACTAACTAATCATGAAATGCAATAACGAGTGAAAGGTCTAGGGAAACGGGAAGTCAAGTCATAAAGGACAAGGTGACTCCTCGTAAAATTATTTTAAAGAATTTTGACGAATAAGTGGTTAATTTTCAATAGATGCAGTTAAATAATAAATAAATACATTAAGCGCCTAATTTGTGAGCAGCCTATTAAATAAATACTTGTAATCATGTTAATCTTAAATTACTTGTAAAATAAGCTCATTAGTGGTATAAAAAGTAGTAGTTTTAGTAAAATTAACACAGCCTTACATTCCACCGTTGCTGCACAAAAGGCACACCCAAACACCACTCCCAGGTTGAGTCTCTTGTCGGCAATTTTTGCAAACTAAAATTACATTTAGATTTTACCTTATTTATTTTATTTTTTAGTATTTTTTTCTTATTTTTCACATTACATTTAAGTCCACACTGTGAGCAAATCCCTCCTCGAGCAATTATTCTGATAATTAAAATAATAATTATTGACACTACTTCACAACACCATACGACAACCTTTAGTACAGGTCATCTAACCTCTGTTTCACGCTATTTGATTTACCGCCTTGCGTACATTAACCGAATGAGCTGAATTATTTTATTATTTTACATCAGTTATTTTTATTTTGGCGTTTAAATTATTCAATTTCGTATGATTTGTACTCGAACTCAAGTAACGTGAAACGGAGTTTATAAACATACATTTTTTCCGTGAGACAACAACCTGAACTTACCTTCCGAGTGGTGAAACACAAGAAGTGCAGATCCTTGTTTTCCACCAGTCTCGCCTTAATTTCCTATTCAAGCATTTTAATCAAACGTTTTATTTACTATAAAATGCAAAATACATTAAACCCGTCGTTCGTAAACAAATGCAACTTGTTCTCACTTTTCACACACAAAGCCACACAACACACCACACACAACTGCTTTTGCTAATAATAAATCTCATAATCATGCAGTCAGAGAGTCTCTCTCGCTCGTTTTACTGTACGTATCTCATCACATCCAAAAATACAATTCATATCATAACGCAACAACCTTAGTTTACAGGTTATAACCCTTTAAGATAAGTGAGCAGGTTTTTGGAGAAGTCATAATAAAGAAATTTCTCATAAAAATCCTGTTTTACGATTTTCACAGCAATTTAATAAAAAGATGAGCCATGCAAATCCAAAACAAAACACGACATGGATGAATACTTAACATGCACGAATATCTAATGGCTGGCAATATGCTGCAGCAACAACTCAGCAATTCAGCATGTGCGAAAGAAGAGGCGAAAGAAGAAGTCATAAAGGGACACGAACCACGAGTGAAGTGAACAATGTATTCGTATTTTATGGACAATCTTTAGCAGCATTATGTAAATTAGTTGGATGCAATTTTTAAAGGAGATGTGCAAAGCTGGATGCTTTTTATTAAGAGATACATAAGTTTTCCTAAGGTGGAGAAGGATGCACAATCAGCATGAAGAATGTTGCAAATTGCAAATACTTACAAGCTTACGCTACAATGCATAACATTTAGTTGTGATTAAACCAGTCTTTGATTTGAAGTTTTTTATATATTTTGAATTTTGCACTGCATTCACATGTCCAACCAAAACCACTCTTTTTACTTTCATGCACATGAGAAGAAGAAAGCCATGTGTCAAGAGCAGGAACTTGTCAAAGTCAAAAGTTAAGTAAAATCAGAAATCAGAATGGATGAGACAAGTTGTTGTGAACAAACCGAAAGTGCTCAAACAAAAACTCAAGCAAGCTTGGGATTGGGAACTCAATTGGTCAGTTAACTTTTGAAGTTCAGTTCTCATGAAGTTTATTGAATCGTGCCGAGATTATGTAAATGTTCAAAAGAGTCCTTTTATGACGAAAATTATGCAAAATGTGTACCACCACTCGGAATGGTACCACTTGTGGTTTTGCAGACAAGTAGACTTCATCATCCGCGGAAAATGATGGCAAAATGTAAAATGTTTTTCACACAATGAGTGAAAATTGATGCACTAATTATTGACAATTTTTGCAATCATTCATGCAAAAACCCCTTGTACATCTCAATCTCAATAATAGATTTTGATTTGAAAAGCGTCCGTCGCCAATAAAAATGAATCTGATAAGCTTCCTTTTATTAGTCGCGTCGTACTTGTGTGTCAATTCTAAATTTGCTACTTGATACGAATGATTGACAGAATTCTTCTGAAACGTTTATTGTCCAATTAAGATTCAATCTGCTTTTTCTCATTTCGTAACTACATATTTTACATAAACCCCAAGTGAAGTGGATGGGCTGCTTTGTTAAATGAAATTGAAATTGATTTTGCTCTCTTAAAACAATGAACGACACATATTGGCAGATAAAAGTCCTTCGTCGTTATTATTAAGCTCGTCAGTACTTTATTTACTACTAACAAGTCTAGACCAAGTTTTATTGTTGCCATTTATTGCTGATGACGAGTGTTGAGTTGACTTGACTCAAGTTGGATTAAAGAAGATCAGCAGGGAGATAATTCATCAGATGTAGAATTCTCCTTCTCCTAATGACGCATTTTCACATTTGAGATCGACATATTTCAAATTATTTCACCCCAAGAAAAATAAATTAGATAAAGTTTTCTACAATAACCGGCTTGGGTCATGTGTGAGTGAAAGGAATTTCAGTCCAGATAATAAATCATTACAAATTAAATGAAATTATTGCTACCAGCATGATATAGATTTTACTTTTTTGCACAATTTTTTGAAGCAAAATAAAAATTTGCACCAACATAAAAATTTGCAGCAAGGTAAAAATTCCATTCCTAATAAAGGAAAAAAGGACCAGGATGCCGACAATTTGTTAGCGTCGTCGTAACGTAAAATTTATCAGGTTGGCGAGTGAAAGAGTCTTTTAATAGAGGAAACCACTAACAAGATAAGAATTAGTGCCAGTTATAGTACAATAATCAAATACCTGCAGACAGCACAAGATTCATAACTGTAGAAATCTCGTCTCTTTTTAGCCATTATATTTTATAATTCATCCAGAACGGCGAGGAAGGAGAAAATCAAGCGCAAGGTTTGTACATATAGCGTTTTTGACACTTTTACGACACACAAGCAATTGACAACAATACACAGAAAATTCTGGTAAAATTATATAAGCGGGATATATTTACACAAAATAGATGCAGAATAACTGCAGAATTGCTATTTTATTAACGAGGACAATGAAGATAATATTTCAGTGGTTCTCACGGTTCATCTCTCAAAAAATGCAGTTGTAAAATGGAGCAAAACCAAGTTCATTAAAATGATATTTAATTACTTAATTAGACTACTACTTAAACTGTGTCCTTGTTTTTTTTCACGTGCAGCATTCCACAAATAATAAATGATTCACATTAAAGTTTCTGTCCAGAGGCAATACGGCAATCCATTTAGAACATTCAAACGTCATGCAGAAAAGGTAAAGCGTCGTCACGATGGCCAAGATCAAGATGACAAGTCGTAAGTTTGGTATAGTTCCACCAAGTAAGGCGACTCCAGAAATGGGAAAAGCTTTCAAACAAGGCTCCTCCATGACGATATTCACCAAAGATCACAAACACAGCTGGCATATGCGTGCACATGTATTTTATTGTTTCTTAAAAAACCAAAATGATAAATTCACCTTGTCACGTTTACACTGATTTTGTGCCAAAACCGAACCAAAACAAGCATTTTTGTTTTTACAAGGTTTGTAAATGTCTCATAAATAGTGGATAAACGAGCAGCGCTTTGTATCATTTCTGGTAAATACGACCTTATTTATGAATTCTTAAAATCTGTCAACATGATAAAATACTTATACAATTTTTATCCATGCTAACAATTGATCCGCATTTGCACTTCGACACGACACTGGCCTATGCGTAACGTACCACTGACAAATGAATGACTGGGAAGAAGAAGTCTAGCCGATAAAATTGTTCGTCGTCCATTAAGTGAGCCAGTTATTAAAAAATTCTGCCTGTGCTAATAGTGCTTTACCCTCCTACACACAGGCGTTGACAGTGAAAGGAAAAGCACGGTTTTGCTTTGTTCTCTTAATTTTGTGCCATCATGTCCAAAAATCATACGGCACAACATAAGGCCACGAGTGGTGATTCAATATTTAAATTAATCAACTTTAAATTCATAGGTACTCGTGTTGTATGTTGGTTTTTGGTGCTTCATAGGAGCCAAAAACTAATAACTTATTATTACACGAACGACAAATGGTGTTGTTGCGACACTTTTGTTTAAACGATCACCTAACGAAGAACATCCTTTTGTAAACTAAAGATGAAATGAAGGGATGTTTTCAATTTGTCAATTTATTAATACATGGCGTGGGAGCGGCGTATACAACGTCCAACAACTTTTATGACGGCACATTGTCCATTAGGAGTACTTTTACTTGAAAAGGGACAGTCGCACATCAAAGCAATAAAAATCAAGTCAATTTAGAATTAGGGTTAATGGTTAATTTCTGATGTGTGGTCGTGTCGACGTAATTGTGCTGGATTTATGTACGCTTGTTGATGTATACGCGTAACGTTTTAAAAACTGTTTTTATGAATATTGGAGGTCTTTTCAATTTAAACTATTACATGTTCATTGTGGAATGATAAATGAATCCTTCCTGTTAAATTTTGCACTATTTTTGCATCCTGACATTTGAATCAGTTAAAAAATGACTTGATCAAACTATATTGACATGTACATTTTGTGTGCAATTTATATCACGAGGTCCATTCGATCTCTATTAAATGTCATTCATGCAGTAATTTCTTGGCTGAACAGTGGTATAAAATTTCTTCGATGGCCTAGTTATCATCTCTTTTTACGTCTCTACTTTTAGCACAGTTTTAGTGCTAACATGTCCATTCAACGAATGCCTGCATGATAAAAAACCTTGTCCGTCTGATCCGTTTAAATAGCTTTTACTACCATCATCCCCATGGACAGAGAATAGTGTTTCCCTTTGTTTTCAATGTTTCTCATTTCTTCTTTGTTCGAAATGAACAAGCTGAACGAAAAAAAATCAAATAAAAGAGAAAAGCTGCTGTCATACGTATTCAAATGACAATAATTAATCATCAGTTCATATCTAAGGGGCATGAAGATTCGGACAAATAATGGCAACCTTATAAGGCAAGTGTATGGATGGAAAGACGGCAGGAATTTTCGCATGTGTATGCGCGAACATCATTTAAAAAATTTCAAAGCTAATTGATTAAGTTTGAGTTGTGTTGTAAAACAAGGTAACAGCTTAAAACCTCTCTTCTGCATAAGATACACTCATACGTGATTAAGTTCTTAAGTATCATTTTAGGAATTGCAAGCAATCAACATGAAAAATGTTATGGTTTTGCGGAATGCGAAATAAGTCTCCTTACTTAATTCTAATCCTTATCAGATTTAGTATCATAAGTATCTGTAAATTGACTTGAGCTCACGATTAACGTGGAATTAGGCAACATTCGTGAATTAAGAGTTGAGTAGTGAGTGAGGAGTGAGCATCATACGTCGATAAAACCTTTCAGGTATGCAGCTAACCTCTTAAAAGGGAAATCGATGACAGCTAAAAGACGGTATTCAAATGGTTGAATATTGACTATTGCGAAATTCAACACGAGCCTCGACGACTAATCTGTGCTCGTTTGTGAGATATTAATACGTATGTGAAAAATGTTGATTGTAAACTTAATATTTTCTCGTGTAAAAAAAATCCCTTAAATTTTTTTGTGAACGAAAACAAGACACAAATTTGCATTTGTTTCCTTCTACAGAAAAAAAATCTTAAGAAAAATTTGGCACGCCAATGCATCAAAACTTCAGTTTGTCATAACATTCATTAGTCTGGCGAGGAGTCCTTTAACATAAAATGTCAACGTGTTTAAATCAAATAAATATGTAAGTACAAGCAGCAAATTCAAGTTGCATTCAGTAAGCTATGCAGCGTTAAACAGCAATTTGCAGTTATTTCATATGTTGTTATAAGTTAGGTAATAAAATCGCCAAATATGGGAAATTGGAGAAAGGTTGGCCAAATTCTCATGCAATTTTATGCATATAGTTCAATGCATGAATGAATTGTGTAGTGGTGCGTGTGGAATTCAATTCAATATCAAATGTCTCATGAAAATTAGAATTAAAATTCAAATCAGAGCAGATAAATTAGCACTTGACTGGCTTAAAATGGGCATCTGCTGTCAGTGTTGTATAACGACGACAATATTGGAAAATCTGCATTTTAATGGTGTCAAGTAATGGCGTTGAGTTAATTAAAATTTCCTCAGGTTTTTCTGTCCTTGCTTATAACTTACCTCAACAAGTTTGTCCCATTGATCTCCATAATAAGTTAAGGTCCAAAATGTACGTGTAACAAAATTCCTTTCAGTTTTTTTGGCACAAATTTGATTTCGTAAATTTTCCGACAATTATTTTTTTAAAGATTGTTTTATCCCACCGAAAATTATGACCGAAAGTTAAACATACGAGATAACAAGGCAGAAGAACTGCCCTCCTCCTCGAAGCGATTAAGAACTAGAACTGGAAATTTGGTTCGTGTATAACACCACTTATCAAGGAATGTATGTTAATACGAGAAGTTGAGACATTTAAATCCTCTCTTTCCTGTCAAAGAGATAAAGTGGAGGTTGAATAGGTATGTAAATCTCATCTGTAAATCTTGTTGTCAATCCATAAAATATTGTTTAATGATCAACAAACAAATTATATATGAACAAGTTGCCGTACGTATTAGTAATGCAATTCAGGTTCTTTGGTACTTTTTCTTCTCAACATTGTTCAACCCGGCCGGAGAATACATAAGTCTTGTAGGGTATTTCTTATAAGTTTATGGTCATAGTTCGGTCATATTGTCGTGCACCCGTATGTAAAAATGTTGATCACATTCCCAGCACTTGAGTATTAGTCACTTTGCCACATTAGGACGAGTCGATGTGTCACATTATTCCGTGCTCAATGGAACGTTTCTTTCTCCATGTACCCCTCAAAAGACATGCATTTGTCTCTCCACTTGTTTAGCCGATTTGCTATCTCAACGTCTCATGCACCGAAAACTCTCTTTGTTTCTCTTGTAAAAACTTGGGAGTTTCTTTGTCAGAAAACAATGCAATTTTCGACACAATTGAAGGTTGTTGATTGATCAAGAAGAATTTTTTGACATGCAAGCAACAAACCCAGGTTGGAAATCAGGCACAATATTTAATGGCTCATTGTATGTTTTTATTTACTTCAGCCACAATTTACTTAATCTTCACGTTTAATTTTACAATTTAGAATATCACTCACACACAAGCCGATTGGAATAAAATAGTGCAACTAAATACGACTGCTTCGTATTTGCTACATTATTTATTTTAGTGTGCTAGGCTTCTCTGTAGTAGAAGCCAAAGGCTTCGGGATGTTGAAGTACGTCTTGACTTCTCGGCAGATTGGTTGATAATAAAGTAAACGAAAAGTAATGCAGTGGATTATTGCAGGTAGGAAGGTATACATGTAAGAAGGTAATAGGATTCTTGATCCCAAACCTTACCCATGGGCAACATGGTTAAATAGCAGATGAGCTGGACGACGACGACGACGACGATGGACCAACCAACCACGCCAAGTAACCGGCCCAAACACAAGAGATAGAGAGGCACACGGATGATCTTGAGATCTTCACATTGCTTACTTATTAAAGGTGTTTGCATTAAAGGAACCTCCAACAGGTAGATTGTGTGCATGCATCTCTGAAGGTAGATATTGTATGCAGCGGATTGGACTGGGTTAGTTGACTGTGGTGTAGTTTTTGGTGTGCGGCAGTACTATTACCGTGAATATACATGGATTCATTCACTCAACTAAATAGGATTTAAAGGTGGTAAGTAGGTATAAGCAATACGCGATGTTCTCTCATTATTTTTGATGGTATACGTACAGGAACAAGAAAGGTAGGTTGGTAGCTCGTAGTATCAAACTGAAACTTGGTCCTGGGGCTTGGGTTTGCCTTTTCTTCAAAAGCAAGGCGTACTTTTACTTACTCGGCAGGTGAGACGAAGACCGAATAACTTCATACACCTCATGCAAAGAATGTCTTGTTTTTCTCTGGGATGAACATTAAACCCTGCTGCCAGCTTCTTTTTAAACAATGTGCGCATACATGGTCTCTGTAATATCTGGGAGTTGGTGTGAGTTTGCTGGTTAGTTGTACTTTGTTTTGTTGCATTTTGGAAATGAGAGTAAAAAAGTGAAGTCAGAAGAGAAATGAAAAAAGAAGACCCTGCAGGATTATATAACATGTGTGGCTGGGTGTGCATGTCAAAAAGCAGCAGAAGGGAAATAATGAATGAAACAGGGATGCATAATTTCAGGGATCGTGAGATCACCTTTTCGAAATATTTTGTCTAACCGGTGTCCGGATTGGGTTTAAAGGTATACCTTGAGTACTGAAAATTTAGTCGCAGTTTTTGAGTATAGGACTCTAAAGAATTTTTTGTTTCTTATTACTCTTACCTTTTCAAACATCACTCCGTTTCATTGATGGGCACTTATGGTAAAGGTAGTCTTCAGCCCAATTAAAATGCTTCTGCACGGACACTGTTCACAAGTAACTACATATTTGCCAAGTGTCAATTAAATAAATTCATATCATGCACAGATGGTTAGAATAATCCTTCCTTTGCGTGACAAATAGTCATCAGTTGCTTATAAGTAATTGTATTGGATCGTTTTCTCCTTTATGTTCACAAATCAGTATCGAAAATATCTGAAAGAATGCAATTTTGAAATCACGATGCATTCACGATGCGTTGGAAGTTTAAATTAGGAAGAATCAATACGACGTGTTTAATTGGTCACTGACTGATTAATTCTAGCCGAGATTTGTAAACGAGCGATGTACCAAAGTTTGCAGACAAAGGCGTATTGTTCTTGTGTGCAAGTATTTTGCCACGAAATAGAAATTCGTGATGATGAGTCCTGATTTTTAATGAATTTAAGCGTGCAATTTTACCAATGTGTCATTTATTCATGTGTAAACCGTCCATCATCCTCCATTTTACAAGCTTGCGTTCTCTGCAAACGCTGCTGAGACCCCATATTTAATGTCTCCCCAGATATTTGTACATGAAGTATCTACATTGTGCAGCCCTTGTTTATTAACAAGCAATTATTATCATGCTGACTTGTTGGGTCTGTGTTATTTCATAAAAATTAATACTTATGCACACAGTTATTACCTCAAAATAACATGAATTAAAGGCAGGACTATTTTATATTCCTTTGTTTTTAGGAAAATAATAAGCGGATATCACTAAAGGTTTTATTAGAGAGATATCTAGCAGAATTATCTGATAAGTAATTTTGGGCCTCACCTTAGGATAAATTGAAACATATTTGGTTTCACCTCGCTGCAGACAAATTAAGAACAGCTTAGCAATAAATCAACGTGTAAGTGGAGAAGATGGCTGTTTTTTTTGCTAAATCATGTACAATTTTGCTCTTACACAATGAACAAGAGGAGAATTCGTACCTAACAAATATTGAAATCGAATCTCAATTAGTTAATTTAATGTTAAAATAATGCAGACATATTAATTACTGCAAACATCATCATGATATCGCTAAGCCAAATTAAACTAAAATTCATTAACTACCAAAACTAGGAGGAGCAAAAGTAATATTTAGTAGCAGTAGTAGTACTTTCGACCAGTTGTGTGCAGACAAGTCACGTCTTCCTCCCTGAACCTGTCAAGACCGAAAATTTTATCGCTTTTGATTTAGAATTTATAATCCACAAAATGGGCGAGTCATGGTGAAACAGAGAAGTATGTATGTAAATATGGTATGGTATTGCTCCCAGCTTTGTAATGATTAAACATATTAATGCAAAATTTACAGTGGACAAGACTTCAACACGACGGAAAGACAAGATAAAAGCCACGCACGGAGATTATTGTGGTTAATTCGCCTTATACAAATTGAGCAGATAATGTTCGAAGGCTTCTCGTATTAATTGTTTTAAATTGAATAAAATGCAAATCGAGGACAAGAACTGATTAAGGAATTGAAATTTATAGATTTGATTTTCGTTTGTCACTTTCGAAGCAATTTGTAGACCATGTTTTGCTCTCTTTTTACCAGTAATGGGCAAGATCTTGATAGGTATGAAAGCACTGTTGGGCATTTATTCATACCATCACTGTCTGAGGAATTGACATGTAATTTGTTCACATCTGCATGGTCATCATCATCTTCGAATAGAGCCAGACTTCAAAACCACAAGCTTTTTCATAGAGAAAGTACAATTTAGAAAGGGCAAGCTGAATAATTTATCATTTTCACGAGTAATGGGAGAAGAATTCATAACATAAAATTTTAAAACTATATATGATGTTCCTTCATTCGTTCTGCTAATTTGAGCCGTGTATGTTGAATCTTTAAAGTAAACAAACCTGAGAAATCGCATTATCAGCAAAAGCAAATACTTAACCCACTAACATAAAGCGTAGAATACTGTAAAAAAAGCACATTGTGCGACGTACACGAGCGCTGTTATGCATCTATTTAATCAACCAAGTAAAAAAATGACATTTCAATTTTACGAAGGTAACACCACTACCAACGCCAAATTAAAAAGGTTGCTTGGAGGAACTACTGCACTACATGCATACTGATTTCGTCGATCTTTACAGGATAAACTTTAATGTTTACACACACTAAAGATAGAGTAATATGAGTAGAAGAAAAGAACAACGCAGCAGCAAATTGTGTGGGCGGAGGTATTCCTTTTGTTAGTAAAGAATAGCTTGCATACATAAATAATATGCCTTGTGGTTAGTTACGCATTCGTCTTTTCCTCTGATTATTGGCGTGGTTTTGTTTTCCTACTAAAACGTAATTTGGTTCTTACTTGACCCTGCAGTTTGGATTGCGACCAATTGGAATGAGATACCCAGATAAATTTTTGCAGTTGGGACGTGTCTCAATAGCAATATTGATGAAGGAACAAGGAAGCTACTTGACACTTTATCGTACGTGCACTTATACGTCTGGTAGGTCGTAGGTGTCACAATTGTAGATTGATGAATATCGCAATAAATATCTTTTTTAATAAGAATACAAACTTAATTGTGGTGTTTAATAGTATGTTCTGACTGAATTGGGATGGGATTGTGTTAGCGTTATTTGATAGCACGTGCTTACTATATCTTTAATTTCTGATTAGCAAACTAATCAAGAACCAGGATGGATGAAACAGTCATTTCTTGAAATATTTATGTGAAAATCGAACGATAAAGTTATTTTGATCACCACTCGATCATCCCAAAGCGATGGAGAGACGACCAAAGAAGGAATTTCCTGATGGCTTATAACCCCTATAGAGGTTTTGGTAATAACATAATTTCAATGACAAAGAAAGTGCGACTTTGACAGTGAAAAAGCGAAACAAATCAACAATGACAAAAATTAGCAAGCCATGCACACATGCGAAAACTAATATGGTTTTATTGTTAAATTCCGTACCTACCACAACTACATATCCATCCAATCCACCCTACAAAATATCAAATTTTCTCATGTCAACCATAAAATTTGAGACTTGCGAATTTCATTAAATAAAACAATGTACAAGCCCAAATTGCTAGACAAAGTGAGACAGTGCGCAGATCTGGTAACATTTTTTGTGATCCACGCTGCCTAATATTTAATACATTTCTTACAAAGAATAAAAGTGACATGACATAAATGGCACTGGGCGAGTTGACATTGAAACAAATGTGAAAAGATTGGTGGACAGCGTGGACTGAGTAATTTGAAAGATTGGAAGTTAATGGAGGTAATTACATTTTTATAAAGTTTTTCTTTGTCGCATCGCATGAATCAACGACAATTCCATACGGACTGACTGACATCAGTCATCACGTGTATGTACTTATTCTACTCTAATATTTAAAATGCAAAGATAAGATAATGTTTTGCATTAGCTTCAGTTTTAGTGCTTCACTAATGACATTTTTTGCCAGATTTGTTGATTGTGAACAAGAACAAGTTAGGAAATTGGGAATTCTTTTGTTCTAATGGCTGGAACGCCTTGAAATATAGGTTCGTCTCTTAAAATACGTATGCATATGTGATCGGTGAGTCTTCTTATGCGGCGTATTTGTTTGTTTTTGTCGAATTAAAAGGATTAAAAGGAAAGTCAATGCATGCACGACCGCACTTTTGATGTGATGAGACATTCATACATTTTAGGCTAACTTTACGTTCAACTTTAGTCCTGATTCGCACCACCAATTAGGAAATATCAAGCGATTTGCACGTCTTCGTCACATCCTCTTCATGATGTATCAAATTGGATTTGAGTCAATACAAATACGGGGAGGGGCTCGTGTAAAGGCTTAATTGCAATCTCTATTATCTATTTCACACGGTTGCCACTTACAAATGCATGTCAATATCCTTATCGACATGTTATGAAGGAGGTGTCACATCACATGAAGCAAAGTGCAGTCATCATACTCAAAATGATTTAATTCTCATTGCATTGCAGACCAGTTGGGAATACAGTTTCGGCATTTTTCACTTTAATAGTTTTCAGTCAGAATGGCGGATCAAATTTTGGGACGATGGGAATTAGTGTCCAGTGACAAATATGAAGACTATCTAAAGGCAGCAGGTATGTGTATGACAATAATTTTTGGTGTTAGATTCGCAATAATTTTAAATGGGAGATTTTTTATTGTCTATAAATAAAGCATTTTTCCAGGCGTTGGAATGATTCAAAGAACCATGGCTAGCAAAGCGCATCCAATAATGGAATGGTTACAGAAAGATGGAAAATGGGTTCAGAAGACTTCAACAGCCATAAAAAAGTTTGAAATAGTTTTCGTCCCTGGCGAGATATTTGACGAGGAATTGGCAGATGGAAGGAAATCGAAGGTATTTAATTAACTATGATTAAAATATTTAACTAGCATAGTAAAACAATTAGTAAACCTTTTTTTAACGTAGTCAACAGTTCATGTCGAAGGGAATACGCTTACGCATAAGCAAAGTACAGGAGGCGAAGAGTCAGAAGTTCAACGCGTTTTTAATGGAAATGAGATGGTGACCACTTTCAAATGTGGAGGTGTCGTTGCTACCAGAGTTTTCAAACGAATATAAAACAGCATAGTACATACATATTCATAATTTACATAAATGACAGAGCCCGAGAAAATAAAATTATTAAATTAACACAATTAATGATTAATAAATTGTATGTGTTTTAAGTTAATAAGCCAAACTAAGGGACCATTTTCCGGATGTTACGGTAAGTGAGGCAAGCAGTTAGGATCAGAAGGGCAGATATGAAAACCACAGCGATTACGATTGTTGATGGACCTATGCAAATCATCAGAAATCACTTCCATTTCATAAATCTTTCGCAAACTTGACATGTTTTATGTCTTAATATGCACCTGCAATATCACCAAGTTTTTCCATCCAGCAATCATTGCACTTTTCTCCCGTGGTGGTATTGTACTTGTAATAGGTTTCGTTGTCGATGCCATTGGTCCCGTTGTAATAGCGGTCAAACAATCCAGACTTATTTCGGGAATCCTCACTGTACAAGTCGCTATCGTATGATAAGGTGTCATTCAATGCATCGTCGTCCAGGTTCTTGTTGGGGGAAGAAGTGGTAGAAGTGGCGTTCAAGGGGGAAGTGGTGTTTGCTGTCGTGTTCCCCAGAGGAGGCGTTGGAGACACGGAATTGACCGGCTGAACGGTCGTTGCAAGGACCAAATTGGTTTGTCCTAAACAAAATGAGGTTTAACTAGGTATCGACAAGGTAAGAGAATTTTGTTAATTTATTTAATCAACTACCTGCAGCCCCCATCGTGCAAGACATCGAGATAACAAGCAACATGCCACAAAAGGAGACCAAGGAATTTTCATAAAAACGAGTCATTATAAAGCTGTTTCTTGTTTTTTGAGACCGATAAATGTTGGTATGAAATGAGCAAAATGTATGTAATTAATTCAATATGCCAATTTCAATAGAGCAATTTTAATAGGCCGTTAAATCTGTGGGATTTTAATTGAAATCAATTGTTTCAATTCACGCTAAATTCTATACGAAAGAACAAACGCTTTCTCACCAATGTGACCAAGAGGATGCTTACAGAGCTATAACTTTCCTGGAATTTAAATGCGTTGTGTACTCGGTAATGTTTTGAAAACATTTCTCCTTCCCTTAATAAACATTAAAGCGAATAAGAGAATGGAATTTAGGCCAAGTTAGACAAACACCCGATGCCATTTTGTTTTGGCTAATTGACAATGAGGTACATTCCTGGACAACTTTATGTACTTCTCGTATGACCAAGTGAATCATTACACCTGTAACATTTCAAACTTTATTTTTTTTTCATTACAATTCATATTTCTTTGCACAAACGAACAATAAATTTGACATAGTCCATCACATCACACAATTTTTTCTGCACGTATTTATATGAAGTACGTATTATGTACTCGTATTTAAGAATAACAAATTTATATATGTACTTATTCCAACATGAACTTTACTTTATGCATATTTATTAATCGTTAAATATGAGCACCACACTAAAACTATGGTTGAATCGAATTATCAGAGTTCATATGTATATTATAAGTGAGTGCAATAGCATAAACTAATTAGTCGTTTTTGCGATCGAAAATAATTTCACACCATTATTCCTTAAACAATGATACAATTAGTACTAACTTAGGAATATGTAGCTCTTAATGATTAACTGATCCTTATACCCCACCAGTGACCCGACCTAACAATTATTAGTGCACTTACATACATATGTACGCAGTACGTAGGTTCAAATTATATGTATAATGACTTCAACACCGATTCGCCTTATCGGTCGGTATCATCTCCGGCACCACAATTACATATGGCACCATTGCAACTTATATTTACAAAATATCGACTTACATACATGTAGTAACATCTTTTAGAGAGAATACATTTATCACTAGGAATGACAATAACGACAGTTAATAGTTAATGTACATACATATATTACTTGTTATTTTAACAATATGAATCCAAAACATTGCATAGTTCATTCGATGAATTAGTGTCCCACATTATTTTCAATTTTTATCAGACTAACAAAACAACAATGGGAATATTTAATTTTAGAAATTTACCGACTAACAACTACTTGAATAGAGATTTTTTTTTTGCTAATTGTTTCGAAAGAGATTCAGTGAATTGACAATTTTTTTAATGACCGAGCTGATGAGATTCGAGAAGAAGATTCGTTTTCAATGAAACTGGGGCACATTTTAGACCTTTTGTTTCCAGGTGGTAAGGAGAGAAGCTTTAAATTAAATCAGGTGTGTAGACCTGAAATATAAAATTGGGCAGATTGTGGACAAATAGAGAAAGTCGTAAAAAATATAGAAATTTCCTTTAATCAAGTTAGAATTAATTTGACGGTTGATTTAAAGGAATAAGTACGATGCATGCAGCTCTTCACACGTAAACATGCATGTAAAAGACTAATTATATAATTTTCACACGCAAATACATACATAAAGCAAAATACAAACAAAATTGTAATTGGGCTTAACACGTATAGAATTTGTAGTATAATCCAAGCAGAAGTACAACGCTTGACACTTTTAGCTCGTTAAAATACTTGAGCAGAATTCACTGAAGATGATATATCGACAATGTCGATTCGACATCACACACACACATTCCACTCAATACAGCATTGTTCACTTTTGCATGCGTTCTTGACATAGTAGACGGGATGATTTTTTTGCATGTCCTCTATAAATTTTTCTCCATTTTCAACAGGCGAACGTTGGCAAAATTATAGTTGGAAAAGTCCTTTAACAAGCAGGCAAAAGCTTCGAATTTCAAACAACATTCTATTAATACGTATAATGTCGATACGACATCTCAAACTACGATATCTAAAAATTTTTAGCTGGAGAATAACCGAAATTGTGCATAGATAGTTAGTTTTAACTCTCCATAAACAAGATCACAGTACAATAGAGAGAGATTTCAAATAAAACTCAATCCCTAATTAAGAAAAATTCAACAAACACAATTTAAACTCACAATGTTAATTGTTGTTACACTAATTTAAAAAAACACGCACACAAAAATTGACTGGACGTGGAGAGAAGCGTTGGACCAAGTTGAGAGGACAGGATTCAGGACTTAAAATGTTGGGTTAGAACTGGAATATTTTGAATTAATCGGTTCATTAAATCGGGCCAAACAATTTTTAATGGTATTGAGTAATATAATAAATATTTTTGTAAACAATTTTGTCAAACGTGTAAGATCTAATAATTTGTAAGAAATAAGAATGAGTAGATTTTAAGATCGTCCTTACAAGGTGTGATAGTTTCGGTCCATCCTTGCCTTGTAGAAACGCCATATCAGATAACCCAAACCGCTCATGCATAAGGTGAATACGATCCCAGCTACAATTTGTACATGGGAATATTACGTAATTTGCTTTAACATGTTAATAAATTATATTTTTAAGTAAGTACCGAAAAAGGACGCAAATGACATTCCTCCCGAGTGAGGTGCAGGTGTGGGGCTTGGGGCAGCGGTGGTGCCATTGGAAGGAGTCGGGGTCGTTGGTTGCTGTGTCGATGTCGTAGGAGTTGTAGGCTTGGCGGAGGTGGTCGGAGTAGGTTGTGTTGTCGTAGGGATAGATGTCGTAGGAACAGTTGTCGTAGTCGAGTTCGGAGGAATGGTCGTCGGTTGGACCGTTGTGGTCGCTGGGGCTAACGAAAATACATTAATATTCGTTAATTCATGGTGAAATTGAGATACATATGTATGTATGGTGAGGTTATGTGATGTTAGTACCAGGAGTTGTTCCATTTGTGTCAGGCAGGTTTTTGCGACCTGTTAATATTGAAGGTTACAATTTGATACTAAGTTGTAAACTAATTGGCATTTTCTTGTAATTAAATTACATTCTGTGACATTTGTCGAGGGTGGTCCTGCTTCCTCAGCTGGGAATTGCGTAACATTAACACATAAAGCTCCTCCTCCCGTTGTTAGAAATGTGCAATTTTTAGTGGATGTTGCGTTTATGTGAGTTTCGACACATTTTATGCACGAATCCAAATCAGGATGAACTTGGACTCCGATGCAGAGGTTCCCAGAGTCTGGAAAAAATAATCAAGAAATGTATTTCTGCTGTAATTTCTTTATAAAAGCGTCTGATAGTCAGGTTGAACTCATACCACCACTTTGAGCCACAACAATGGACGCTATCAACAACGCTACCCCTCCAACGGAATATACAAAGGAATTTGCCATAATAATTGTTTGGTTGATATTGTACTATCAGAAATCCAGGAACAACAGAGTACTTTTTCTTCTCGGACGGCACCACACCTGAAATGAAAAAATCCCGTGTTTTATTTATAATAAAAACTTTACCACTTGGTTTTGGTGTTCACTGATCGATACAAAATTCCGTGTTATCTTTTTGTCTACTCAAGTACTACTAAACTACTAAGAGTAAACTGTTGCAGACAAAAAAAGTATTAAGTAGTCTATTGCGTGGCCTATTTTTCTTGTCTTTTCTGTTTTAAGCCGTATAATATTGTGGCTAAATTGTAGTGTTCGATGGTCGATAAATCAATACTTCGGATTGTCCTCTCACCATGCATGTCATGTATTTTTGGTCGTTTATGTATCAATGCAGCTAAAATAATTCAGCGAATAATTCAGCTCCTCCTTATGCAAGTAGATAAATATATAACAGATTCATACACTTATTTAGTTTACCAAATTTCTCCCGAAAATATGATTTTACTAGTAATAATTTCCTATTAAAACGTATTTAAATATCCAAGAATTACCGATATCTCCAATTTCGAAACTTGTCCGACAAACCGGTGTTATTGGAGTGAAAGTTGATTGACAAAGCAATCGAATTTGAAGTATGGTTACATACACGACGCCTGCCAAGCAAGTTGTCCGACAGCCAAACACCAACTAAACTGCCGTCTTTTAACTGTACTTCTATCGAGATCTAACTAACCACCAACTGCATGCAAATAGCATTTAGTTTACAATGTTGGTTTCATGCCTAATCTACTGTTTCATATTTAAGAGCATCTGCGCATTTGTATGTACATACATATTTATTAGTGGGAATTATCTTTACCTTATGATCAACTTTACAGACAGCTAGTACAGCTAAATATGTTTATGTAGTTCCGTTCTGTCATAAAAGAAACAACACAATTCGATATGAACCTTTAGTTTTGTATGTATTTGTGTTATCAATAGTTCCAGATACAGATTAAAACTTCCGTTTGCATTCAAGAGTGAAATATGACAAGATTATGACTTGATTCTCAAACAAGTACTTTACTACGTACATATATGAACGCAAAATGTATTTCGAAGAAGGCAGAATTATCATTTTACACGCCGACGATATTTCTCGATAATAAATTTCGTCTGTTTTTTAGTTGAATTATGCAGAGATAAATTTTAATTAACACGTTATATTTTAAATACAAGTTCAATAATCCCGATAAAAGTATTGTGTTGCATGTTACTAACATAACCTACTAGTACGTATACCGCAGAGTGAGATGTACGCATATGCCCAAAGACAAAGTTCATAGGCATGATGTCTGTCTACGATCTGGATGATGATGTATCAATTATACAAGATTTGGATATCATTACGTACGAACAATGACCATGTGTGGGATGTTAAAAAACTTTTATTATGGAGGGTCGGATTAAATTTCGAATATTGAATTGCAAACAACCCACGCAGCATCGACTATTGATACTGATAAATTGAGTACCGTGATAGGAATTTCCAACCGTTTACTCTATAAAATTGTGGAGTAAATAGCTTGATATGATTTTTTCTTGTACAAATCCTGGCTCTTTCGAAGCACTTTTTAAAACTTATATCACAATATTATTAACCCCCGAACTTTGTAGTTCCTAATTCTTTCGTACAACTAACACTAAAAAATAAATACAAAATCGCTCATGTTTAATTACCTACGTATCGCCTATTTTATTTTTGTACACATCAGCCAAAATCTATACTGCATGCATAATGTGTTCAATGTTCTCGTGTTTTGTCACATTTTATGACAACAGCTCCACTCCACACGTAATCGGCCTTTGTGAATTGGAGAATAATAAAAATTTCTGCTTATTATGCATTTCAACAGATGTGAAATATTTAAATGAGTGTCAGCCAGGTTTTGTAATGTGGATGTATGTAATTGTAAAGTCTAAAATGGCACCCTTATTATATCCGACACGAACGCTAGCTGAACTTTTTGAAGTAAAATATTCCCATTACAGTGCAGAGTAAATAGTAATTTATTTCCGTTTGCTACACTCACCAACTTTGTTCAACAAATTTATTTCGTAGTACTTACAATATTAATATGCTCACTATTTCATAAAATGTGAAAATATTTATGAATTTAAAACTGTTTTAATTAGATTTACCTGTAGTTAGACAAACTAAAACGTTTTTAATATTCACAGCCACACTGGAATTGATGTTTCTTATAAACCATCGAACTCGATATAACTGCATAAAATGAGCTCCCACTGCTGCCACATTCAGGTATTTGCTCACACATTAGCAACAAAAAATAACAAATTTGCAGATCCGATGTTGACGTTGGCTTCTACTCGTATCTATGTCGCTGTGTACCTGAAGGTCGTATTCGTATGTCTTAAGAAGACGGGAAGACGTACAACAAATATGTATGCTGCTCTTTAATACTTGGTATTACTTGGTATGCAATTTTTCTTGCACAATGAAGAATACAAAAAATTCCCAGACTCAATGATGACTACGTTGAAGTAAGTAATAGATCCATGTATGACAGAGTATGTCCACGTATCTGCTGGACTTGATTGTCACTACTGAGAAATCTTGTTAACAGTTGGGACATACTTACAACATTACTGTCAGAATGTGGGGATGTACACGTATGCACTTGCATACATCGACCAGCATGAATATTTCTGGCTATTATTATGTACAAGAAATAAAGACGTTATACATCATAATCTAATAACCGTCCCATAAGAAAAATATTATTTTGCCTGCTTGAGTTTAGTCTTCTTATGTCGATGAATACCCATAACGCCGATAATATTTTATTCAATATACGTTATTAAGGATTCTTAATATGTAGATGAGTTCGAAATTCGCAAATATTGAAAGGAGTAAATACTATAATGAAAAGGTCAAAATGCGCCTATTATGCAAACATATGTAACTCTCACTCTGTAAATGTCAGTCTTGAACAATGTTCATATTTTGACATTACAGGAAGTAGCCTTAAATAAACCATTGCCAATATTTTGTATTCACCACACACTATATTTTACTAAACCGCAACGTTATTATGACAGTATTATGTCATTCACATCCTCCCCCACTAAATGTCACTCTTATCTAAACATAAAAATAAAACAAAGACCAATTTAACTCACCTTCTTATCACAAATCCAGGAAATGTACGTATCTTTTGCGATAAGTTTAAACTAAGGTCAGTGTCATGTGGTCTGGTCTGATGGTGATTGTTGAATCAATGCACCACTACTTCAACAAGTTCCTGTCTCGTATTAATGCAAACGTGAACTAAAAAAGAGAGGAGAGCTTTTTAACGTATTCACATTGGTAAAAAACTACTATATCGTAATCGAAGTGTGAGTTGGATGGAGAAATTTTCCCTTTAAACGTCCATGCATACTGCGTTTTCTGTGGGTGTTGGGTTGTTAAAGAGAAAAAGGTTCGTGTTTGTACTACGTATTATATAGAGGAACACGTAGATTTGGCTATTAACCGATTCACGGGGGGAATGCATACACAAAGTGTTTCCATCCACTGAGGTTTGGGGACAACTAGTGTTCCCAGTTGGCAGAGATGGGGTTAAATCTTCTCTCCGGTTGCTTTTCTATATGCCCGACCGAATAAGTCGAAAGTGCTTAAATAGCAAATGTTATGTTGGGTGCTTCTTCTTCTCGTTCATGTCAATTCGTCGTCTTCTTCGTCTTTTACTTCTTTACTCAACCGCAGTAGAAAGAGAGAAGAAAGGATACGATAGGATTGGGATGTGAAGGTGTCAAATGATGTGCAGGCAGATTAACAGGCTCATCACCACTGTCACTTTCTAGCGCTTTCACACAATACGGAGAAGAAATTGTTAATAAAGTTGGGTGAAAATTTGCTGAAAGAAAGTGCGAAAAAGTTGGAATATTTGATTGGGATATTTTGTGAAAGAAATTGGTAAGCATTCTTAAGTTTGTAGTGTTTTCTGTGTATTACACAAAGTGAAAGTTAATATTTTTTTGTGTAGTTTAAACGTCGATTTGTGAATTTTTGGATTTTTAGACTACAAAATTTATTTATTTCTTATTATTTGTTTATTTATTTATGCAAAATATTCATTACAGACGTGAAAATGATGGATGTTGATGATCGAGCGGCGTCAACTTTAGCAAAATTGGAGCTAGTTAAAGAAATCAAGTAATTTAATAGCTTCACATTAAAAATAGTGAAAGTAAAATAAAAATGTGAAATAATTACTTTGCTTTCACTCATTGTAGATGTAAAACGATGCAAATGTTGAAAATGAAAGAACGGTTGCTGGATGAAATTGAAAATTGTAGAAAAGAAGAACGTTGTTTGCAAGATTATAGATCCGAAATGGAACTACTAATGCAAGAAAAGATGGCTCATGTTGAGGAATTGAGACAAATCCATGCTGACATAAATGCTGTAAGGTCATTTACGTTTAAGATGATAAATTTCAAAAATAAACTCAAATCATCAAATTGTAATTGCTCATATTTAGATGGAATCTGTCATCAAACAAGCTGAACAGACAAGAACGAGATCAGTCGACACTGCAAAACGACTTCATCAAGAATTTGGGCCTGTAAAAGCGGAAGTTGATCGTCTCAGGCAGGCATGCTTAGGATTGGAACGGTTACCAGAATTGCATGAGGAAGAGCCATCAATAATATCGTCAGAGTATGTTCACTTAACTTCACTTTCACTCTGAATTTTGTGGAGAAAGCAGAAATTTAACATGCATTTTATCTCCACAGACTATTTGATCAACTGCCAACCTGGTCACACTCACATTCTCAACCTCAACGAGACGAAGTTATGCAAGGAATGGCATATTCGCAACCCCCCTCCGCCCCACAAGCTGCAGCCGCAGCGTTTATCATGAGTCAAAATCCATTGGCCATGATGCAATCTGCCGCAGCAGCTAAACAACAACAAGACCGACAACAGCAACAGCAGCAACAACAACAACAACAAACGCCACACCTCCCTCCACAACCACACGGACCAACACCACCATTTCGGTAAGTACTTATCATCCATTCATTCATTCGTATAAAGAACAAACTAAACATTATCTCAAACTGGACACAACATAAATAGATTGCATGTCACAAATTTGTTTTTCATTGATTTTGTGTGTGGTCAAATGCATTATCAAATTGTGTCACCTTTTGTAATCGGCCATGGCACTCACTGTGTATCATAGTTGCACACGACATGCAACTATTATCTCTCCCTGCTGAATGAGATTGTAATCCAAATTGCGATATAAATAATTTATTTTGTCATTTACAGGCAACAACCCCCTCCAATGAAGTCATGTCTATCTTGTCATCAGCAAATTCATCGCAATGCACCAATTTGTCCGCTATGCAAGGCCAAATCTCGTTCCAGGAATCCCAAAAAGCCAAAAAAGAAGGAGCAATAAGAATCAAGTTGCATTTAATTTCTACCTTCGTTTCTTTTCCGATCAGTATTACATATGTACCAATTTGGAATAATTTATGTATGCAACTTTTAAATACTAGGTTATGTTTTATATAACAACAAAACTCGTGAGTCCTAATTCAATGTTACATATTTAAATTTTTAATGAATAGACTGATCATGAAAAATGTGGGTAGACAACATAATGCCATTCTTTGAAAATACTCGATTTCTAAAGGTAAAAGTGCCAACTATTGAGATAAGTATTCCCTATTTATACTCTATTTATAATAGCCATAGCTTTTGTCAAGTGCTTTCAACCTTGAAACAGTTTAATGATTTTGTGTATGTACATAAATGCTATATAAAATGTATGTACATACGTATTTAGACAGATCGGATTAAGGATAGACATAGTAATTGTAGGATAGTTTATAGTTACCTCTTTTAATAGAAGAGCGATTTAAAATAGCGCTTTTTTTATGACTAGAGTGACAAGCTTTGATACCACAATCCATCATCAACTTGAAATTTGGTTGACAACTGGAATCGCTGAAAAGTATGTCAGGCATGGCAGAAATTACTGAAATCCGTGCGGTTCAGTTGTTTGGTAGATATCCGTTTTTACGCCACCACGACTTTTTTTATAGAGGAAAAAGTAAATATAAAACCCATTTAAAACTGTACATGAAAAAACTACTTGGTTTGTTTTTAGTGTCAAAAGTTAATCTTAAAGAAATGCGTTGTTTTTTACGGCAATTTTTTTACACTGGTGTTTCATTTTGTGATGTTCTTCATCCGTGAACAAAGCAAGATGAAGATGAAGGAAGGAAATAAAGAAATTGTTTGAATTGGAAAGCATTTCTTGAGAGGAAATTGTTTAATCCATCACCGCCCGCACTGTTCGAGTATTCCACTCGACTGTTCTTGTTCATGGAGCGTAAATAAATAATAATCATCTTCTTGAAGTGCGTGCATATCCGATGCATAGAAATGTCATCAATCCAAAAGTGTCCCATAGTTTAATTTTGCTTGCCTTAGACTACAGTCAGTTTTAACCTAAAAAGTAGGAAAAATAGAAATAAAATAATGGGAGAAAATGTTATGCAACTTTTAATTCAAACTATTTTTTATTATAAAGATTGAAGTAGTGCAACGCATAATTAATTTTTTCACGTGTATTTTTCCGTTGAGATAGGTCAGGTTGTAAACGACGTTTAAATTACGTAACGACGCCAATTTTACGGTAGACGTTAATACGTAATTCTATTATTCATCCTTCGTGTCATTTCGTAAATCTTGTACAACAAGCGATTCGTATTCCATTGCATGATTACTTTTGGGTCAAAGGGTTTAACACGGTAAAATTCTTGTGCAGATAATTTAGCATGAATTGCTCCATTTTAATTGGCACTTTATTTAAATTGCATACTAATGTTTAGCATCAATATCTTATCAAGTAATGAATGGAATGCATCAAATTTCTGTCTCGCTGAGTGCAACTAAATACATAAATATTTTATTATTCCAGTGCAGAAACCGAGTCACAATTTTTGCATAGTTTACATATCTCACAGACTGCGATGTCGTCTCTGGTAATGACTGAGTAGTTGAAATGAGAGAGATTTCCGTTCAAAATCAAAAGCATTCATTCCAATTTGTTTACTCCTTTGAGAATTTCATGTTCTCCTTTTACTCCGCGGAATGAAAGACGCTTCTGTTCCTGCCATGAACCTCTTTGCCTATCGCTCTTCAAAAGCCATTCTCTCTCCTTATTTATCTGCAGATTTCCGCTACGTGCAGCATACTTTGAGGGCACAGCAGTTTCGCTAGCTGCTCAATTTCACTGCAGTCAGATTATTATAATTACCACATCAGAAAGCAGAACCGCATTATGAGAGAAGAAGAAGAAAGTCGTACTTGGCTTGGCATCATGTCCGCTTTCTCACAGCATTTCAGCTATGAATACCATCTCTAAAATCGAGTTAAGATGCAAACCTGCGCAAAAGATGTAGATCCTCGGACGGAATTCCCCTTCTCCCATCGTTGCGTTGGTTGGTGCGGATCGGGGTATACTACCCGGGTAAAATTGGACCCTTGAGTTGTTCAACCTTTGCCAACGATGTTGGTTCGTACAATACAACAGTGGTCTGAACTGAATGCAGTTCAGAGAGCTTAACTCGTACTCGTGCTTAATATTTGAGTGCGGGATGTGCAGTAGGACAAAATAGTGGTGGTTTGGTTGCAAATGCATTTGTACTACTGCATAGAAGTCGTTATACGTACACTTTCTGTAAGTAATAAGAAAGAAGAAAGGTCTAAGTGAGTGAGTTGACGGACACTGTAAAATTATAGGATAAGAGGAAAAAGGAATAAATGGTGAGTTCACTGCGGTATTTTCCATCAGTCGGTTTGAGTTCTTTTACGAGGAGAGGTGGCTTAAATTCGTTCATTCAGTTTGTGCTACCCTACACCCATTTGCTTACTTCTCTGTAAAGAGAGAGAAGATTTGCATCGGTACTGCCTCCTTCGACCCAACAATATCCGTACACAAGGACAAGGAACATCTGCCTCTGACTAAAGTCCCCTAAAAATGGAGGAGGAGATTTTCCTAGAATAGTAAGTGTATAACCCTTGTGAACTTAAAACTGTTTGGCTAAATTTCTTTAACACGAGTACGAAAGTAAAACCATTTACTTAATCCCACATGAAAATGTGAGACGGACAAAATTAGCCAACTCAGGCACAAATCCGTATCATCGTCGTGTGTGGTCAGTCAAGTGTTAGTGGTTGGTGGACAATGCAATCTTCTCACAATGGCTAATTTTCCTGGAATCCATCTATAACAAATATTACTAAACATGAGAAACATTAAGATGTGGCGGACCCGGCTGCGACCACTGATTTCAAGTCTGATCCTATTCGGTCTGGGGGTCACTACTTGTCTCATGTTTGTTCAAATGAGTCAAAACGGACTGGACGGACCTGCCGTTTACACAAATTCTCAAGAGTATCAATCTCCCCAACAACTTCAGCAGACACAACAAGAAGCTCCTTGCGACTCTGCTCCTGCTCTTGGAAATGTGATCGCGAGTGGGGAAACTGCTGATAAGAAGAGACGCAGGGTCAACAGTATTATCGGTGGTGATGCAAATAATGATGGAAGCAGTGATACGAAAACTATGAAAAACTCTAACCACAAAAATATTCCTGGTGGTGGTGGTACTAAAATAGGAGGAGGAAAATATTTAGCGGAAGCTGTCATAGCTGACTCGTCCATTATGAAAATTGATACTTTGAACCCTTCTGATGCTGCAAATAGAGGGATTTTTATCAAATCTTCTCAGTCTGAGACATTAAATGATATTTATTCAAATGATGAAAATGATATTAACGATGAAAACGGGCCTACCGTGTGGGTAAGTTTAGCATCACGTAGTGTTCAGCATGTAAATTTGCTTAAAAAATGTAAAAATATCTTATAAAATATGGGATGATAACAACCACGTCGCTGTTTTGTCTCAGGTGATAACACCCACATTTTACAGACCCGAACAGAAACCTGAGCTTACTCGACTTGCCCAAGCATTACTTCCACTTAAAAATTTTGTTCACTGGATTCTCGTCGAAGATATTAGTCACGGAAGCGAATTGAGTTTTAAAGAGTTGGAAACATTTATTTCGACTAGATTTTCTACCATTAAGCATACCATTTTGAAATCTGTACTTCCCAAAAGTACGACAAAGATTGTGGGAAGGCCGAGAGGGGTTGGGGGGTAAGCAAGCCGAAATTTATGCACAAAATGCATTTGAGATTATTTATTAGCGTGTCAAATTTCAGTCTACTTTATGTTCTCAATTTAGTCGTCGGGCTGCAATTGACTGGCTGAGGAAACATTTTGAGCACAAAAAATCTACGGTTGAGGGTGTGGTGTATTTTGGTGAGTTGCATAATATAATCTTCGCTATATTGATTGAATTGTTGCTCAAATATTTAATTACATTTTAGCCGATGACGACAACACTTATGACTCTGACATTTTTCGGCAGGTGAGACATTGAATATAATATTTGCTTTTCGGGTGAATTGATACAATACTATAATTCATCTCTTTTTTGCAAAAACTTCTTTTGAGCTTGAACCGTAAACATTTTGCAGACAAAGTTTTCTTTTAAAGAAATTAGCATGTCTCAAAAAGTATAAGCGTCAAGCCTGGTTACTTCTGCTTCTGGAAAGGAGTAGGTACAAATAGAAGTGGTGTTTGGTTGCTGGTGCAAATGGGCAGCAGAGTTATGTAGCAGAGTCAGATCAATAGAAACGGCATCAATAATGGACTTGGTGCCAAGTAACTGCCAAATGCTTTGGACATTCTGTATAATGGGCGGTGTTGGTGGGCATGTGAAATAAGAAGAAAACGAAGAAATATTAGTATTGAAGCAAGTATCGAGTTGCGTATTAGTACATGTGACTATAGTCCAAGTATTCAAGATGTATGTTGCCTAGTCATGAAACGGAATCGACCGTACGATTTAGTTTATATGGAATATTGCAGTGCATTGTCCCCGAGTCGACGAGTTGTTAAAGTGTGAATGTTTTTCAAGATATTATTTGATGAATATTTCAGATGCAGGGGACCAAGAAAGTGTCAATGTGGCCCGTTGGCCTTGTCACCGACTTTGGTGTGAGCTCGCCAATCGTCCAAAATGGAAAAGTGGTGGGCTTCTATGATGGTTGGAGTGGGCTTCGAAAATTCCCCGTGGACATGGCCGGTTTTGCAATCAACGTTCAACTTTTCCTTGATGTAAGTGGATTTCAAACACTTTCTTTCTCAAAGTCTTTTTAGATATCAACACTCAGGCAGCATTTATTGTGACGAAACCGGACGTTAATAGTTAAGTTGGCTATTCTCTGGATTTCATTTCATTTACAGAAAGTGAAGGGTTGAGCAAAGAAAGAATTGTCCTTGCTTAGTGGACGATATATTTCTTGGAAGAATTTGACATATATTTGGCAAACTAAAAGTTGTCGTGCTGTGCCCTACTTGACTCGTATATTCGCAATATTGCAATAGCGAGCAATGTCATTCGTGACGTTATTCCAGTAAAGCTTTCATCGTTTGTCTGATATCATTATGCACGGCTGCTTTTATACGACTCCATTCCTATAATGACACAAAAGTATGTTTCGATATACGTGAAGAAAACAAATGTCAACGCAACACGGCATGAGGAGAATAATGGCCAATAATGGGGCACTATAGTTGCAATATCTATCATCCCAATTACCTGGCCCCCATTAAAGGAGAACAATAGCACCCACCCATCAAAGGCGTTTAGAAGGAACTCCACTCAAAATATTGGACTACATAGCGTTAGCGTGACCATTATTTCTGGTTACCAGTTTACTGAAAATGAGATGAGACCTCATTTCCATGCACGTTACAAAGCACATGACGTGTCATTTCCTCCTCCCTCACTAAATTATTGCTTGTTTTAGGTAAAGAATTGGATTTGTGTGCAAGAAATTATGGGAAAATTTAGCTCATATCGGAATGACATGCATACACATAAATCCGAATTCCCTGATTTGATAAGGTTGCATGCATATGGTTCAGGTAACAAGCAAAAAGTTGTCATAATTCAATTTGCATCATACCGGATGAATGAATGCGATGAAAAAAGTTATTGCCACTTCAGGCTTTTGTGTGAATGCATGCATTTCTGTACATGCATATGAAGATTTTCTTTTATTGTGTTATAATAATGGGAAAATGCATTGCGTGTTGGTTGTGTCAAATTTATAGCTATTGTCGCGAAGGACATTAGGCATAGCCATAAATATAGTTTTACAAAAGGTTAAGTCAAGATGGGTTTGACTGCTGGGCTGGTGTCACATATGTAAAGTTCCCCATATTGGTTCGTGCAATATTGAGTGCGTGAGTGAGTGAAAGTTTATTATGGAAAAGTGATGATTGAATACGGACAGGAAATCAATTTCAGACCTCTAAATTTCTTAGTAATAATCCAAGTTTTTTTTAGAGCAGAGGTGGTATCAAAGTCAAAATATATGCTTACATGCCAAAATTACTTACACAAACCTAAAACGTATAATTGATTTTACCCGTATTTTCAGAAACCCGACGCGTCAATGCCGTGGGTTGCAGGGTATGAAGAAGACGAATTACTGAAAAGTCTGGGTATCACGATGAAAGACATTCGACCTTTAGCAAACAATTGTACTGAGGTATTTTTACGCGGAATTTTTATACGGCAAAATTTCAATAGAAAATAATCTTACATACTAAAAATTCTGTGCAATGTTTTGCAGATTCTTGTATGGCATACAAAAGCCATTCGACACACTTGGCCGAAACGACCAAAATCTATGAAACCTGGATTGTTGACGAGTACAAATTTACTTCAATTATTACAGTAATACACGCTTATCCATTTACTTAATAATTTGAATTTTGAGTTCTAATAATATATACATTTTTTTCGTTTAGGTCTCTTCCACAAAAAAGTCTTGCGGGGCTGGGTGCCAATTCCAACAAGGCCGGGACGGGATTCTCCTTCCTCAACATGATCTTTGGGGGTCTCCAGTAAACTATTGGCTGTGACACGTTCTGCCTATTTATCCTGATCCAATGGTAGTAAATGGAGGTTGTTATATGATGACGCAACCCCACGGATAAGCGAGATTGGGATCGGCGTCTTACGTACCAGATTGCCGTATCAGCATACGTACGTAAATGCTATGTTAATTCTCGGGTCAAGATTCCGATGACCTCTTCTTCTCTCTTTCTTGTCAGCCTATAAATATCCTATTTGTATGTACGTGTTGATCTGTAAAATCACTACTTTGAATTATACTATGTATGTACTTATTTACACTTGTATTTGACGATGATCTATACCAAAAAGAGTATTATATATGTATTTATATATATTATGTTATTGTCCCGAGTTTCGATTAAAATAATAAGCAAGCAATTTATCAAAGTTTGTCCAAATCTGTTTAAATTTTTTATTAGCATGTGTATATACAGATTACTGAGAATTTTAACCAAAAATCACTCAAAACACGAATGGAATAATTGCCTTCCTCTCGGACGGATATGCACTTCCAAACTTCTCTTTGTACCATCGGTGATGATGAAAAGCTCGAATGCTAAGGAAAGTATTGGCGAATGTAGCGAAGGCAATCTGTACATCGTTAGAGTTAATATAATAAAATATTAATACACGTATTACGCAAGTTTATACATTTAATCAAGTTATCTTACTTGAGGATAACCTCCCGTGTATAAGGCAAGCCCCCACCACTCCAAAATTTCTCCAAAGTAATTGGCCCCACTGATAAGCTCAAATAAACCCCCAGTTGGAATTTCATAATCTGTATTCCCTTCGCTATCCGTGCCGGCTTCTCTTTTTAAATTCATCAAAATTCCATCGTGCTTAATGTTGATCCACATTCCGAGGAAAAACATGCTTATTCCAACTACACAGAATATTATTATGTTTTTTTAAATGTACATTTTCTTTCTAATTAAATTATTTATTTACCCGTTTCTGCAAATCCAGAACTCTCAATTCGGTAGGCGTTTGCTAAATGATGACCCTGAAGGAAACCGTTGTATGCACAGAAGAAGAAAGCAGAAAAAATTGTGGGGATTGGGATAGGCTTGACCTGCTCGGGGAGGGCAAATGGGAAAATGAAGGTCCTAAAGAACCCATAAATGTTACATATGTAAATTATTTCCTAATGTAGCATTATGTAACTATTCTCACCTATTTAAATAGTGTAGTAAAAACAGAGAAAGTGCAATCGCATTGGGAGCATTGCTGAGCTGGACGTGTGGCGTTGTCAAAACCACGAGAATCGGGACAATGAATGCAGGCGATTCTTGAATCTGTTTTAAAATTGATTTAAGTTAATGAAGTGATCAAGTAAAATTAAACATTTTAAAATTATGATATTTACAATCCACGCCGTTTTGGCAGGAATGGTTGGTCCGAACTTTGGAGATGAATACCGCCCATAAGGAGCTGGCTGGAAAAGACTGTAGGTTCCGGCTATAACGGTGAAAGCCAGGCCTATATTCGCCATCCAGTCGCACAATGGATTGTCCTGCCGAACTCCGAACGTTATGTACATCATGTTCCAAACGGTTCCTCTGAGGTGTTGCGAAGGCATTGTGAATTTGGTGTGGAGAAGTACTTTGATCACTTATTATTTCAAAACTGTCACCTTCCCTGATGTTCAGGGGGTGACAATTTAATCTTGACTTTATAACTTTTAATTGAAACTCACTCTAATTTAACAGACTCGTCAATTACTTTGTCAGACGCATGAATTGGTATAGAAACACCTGCAGAGACACATCCACTAATGATAACGTGCAATGCATATGTGTACCTACATAACTATAAAGGACATATGCATATGTAGTTTGTGCCTATTACGTAATCCCGGCGATATTTGTGAGCCAGTCAATCATTACAGAGCTAAACGTGAGAATAGGAATGGCAAACTCACATGCGTTTAAGACTTGATCTGTTGTACTGATAAAACTTGTGTTTATTGTATGCACATTTCAGTAGTAGAATGAATCTAGAAATAAATTGTACAGAAAAAGTTTTCTTCATACACTTATCTGCATGCTTGTTTGCATGCAATTTAGTTTCATGCAAATTTACAGTGAGTCTTGGGCATTAGGATGTCATACAAATTATGGTTCTTGTTCAAGAGCAATGGGCACTAGATAGCCCTGAGCATCTTCATAACGCTCTTGTTCATCACAAAGTTGTAGATATTCCTGTGGGCCGTAATTAAATAAGATATTGCATCAAAAAATTCAAATCAATTTTAAAATGCTCACGCTATCTTCCGCCGTTCCATGTTCTACAAAAAGCATCAACGATTTGGCACACATGATTTTAAGTTCCTCAAGCCCCACAATGCGATCTTCAGGTTTATATGTCCAACATTTTAGCATAAACTCGTACCTATCAAATATGTACATACATGGTATATTTATGTTTGTATGCATGTACATGGATAATAAATATATGTAATTAATAACGTATTACAAATCATTGGTCGCAAAAATCGGTTTGGTTAATCGGAGTCCTCGTTGAAGTTCCTGAATAAAATCGGTGCTGTACAGCCTTCCAGAATATGGAATTTCGGACAAAGTAAAAATTTCCCAAAGAGTTACAGCAAGACTCCAAATATCGGATTTTAAACTGAATTCTAAATATTGGAGACACTCTGGAGCTAAATGCCTCCAGGGGAGAGGGCACTGCATTTCAGATAAGATTATGTAAAAGTAAAAATATTTTCGTTATTTTGTATGTAAGTAATAAATGCTTTGCCTGAGTCTTTTTAACGTAATTCGAGCACTCAACAAGCTGCCTGGATAGTCCGAAATCCGAAATCTTTGCAACGAGGTCCTCACTCAGCAAGATGTTTCTTGTCGCCAAATCTCCATGAATTACTTTTTTGTCGTGAATAAATTCTAGCCCGCTCGCCACATCATAAGTCCATCTCATCAAGTCTACAGTTGACAGCTTAATGTCCGAGACATCCGTAATTTGGATGTTATCATATCTTCGAACCATGATTTTTTTTTACTTCAGTTGTTTCTATTATCAAAATGTTAAAGCGTGGACATTTCATGAACTCACATTACAGAACCCATCGGCGCGTTTGTACCCACCGGATCAGCCACGATTATTCCGTATCGAACCTTATTTTGAAATGATGCTTTGTGCCTTTTCAGAAATGACTCCAAATTACCCATAGGACAAAATTCGATAGCAATATACACTTCACGATTTCGAATTTTTTGTGTACAAGCTCCAACTAGACTAACGACATTTTTATGGTGTCCAATAAATGCCATGATTTTCACTTCAGATAACAAGGCTTTGAAATACATGACATCAACATCAGTTCCACAGGTTTTTACTGCGACAACTGCGTCCTTAAGTTGTGAATTATTGGAGGCAAGCTCCTCTTCTGCAGGTTGAATATTATCCGAGGATTCCGAGGTTTTTGGCGAATTTGTCGTATTACTCGCGAGAACACTTCGTCGTTTAATTTTACCCTTGTAAACTTTCCCAAATTTCCCACTTCCCAGAAGGTTTCCTTTATCTAATCATCAAATACGTTATTCACTGATTTGATAATTTCAAGAATATGCCAGACGTGTATGTAAATATGCATAAATACCGAATACTAGATTTTGTGGCGGAATTTCATATCGCTTATCATAAGGTAGAGCTTCAATAACCTCATTTCGATCGAAATACACATTTTTCGACGATAAAAATTCTGGATTCCCATCTTCAAATTCCTTTATCTCAGCTTCAGTAAGTAGTCGCAAAGTTTCACGTTGATACTTGATGACGCGATATAACCGAAAGACAATGTATGCAGCTGTAATTGCGACAATTATTGCAACCGAGACAGAAACTGATATCACCGTTTTGATAAGTTTAGGCGATTCCTCTGCAAATATTTACATTATAATTTATGTTTTTGTATATGTACATTAACAAGATTCCCAGACTTTTTAGGCCTTTTAAGATGGCCTTATAGATTTACCAAGATGTCTGTCTGTCCGTCCGTCTGTGCGTCCGTCTGTGCGCACGATAACTCTCTTTAAACAAAAGCTATCGACTTGAAATTTTGCACACTTCATCTTCGGGTCAAAAGTAAGGATGAGTTCGGAGATGGGCATGATCGGCCAAGTAGTTGGCCGGTGGGGGTCATTACTATCCAAATGCATTGCCCTTAACTACCAAGAACCTTTAGAGCAGGTTAAATTATTTAAGTGCAAGTAAAATATTTGTAGCTTGAAAAATATCTATAGTAATAATTTTCAGTAATTTTAGTATGAAGATTGCGACTGACCTCAAAGCGTTTAAATTGGAATGGAGTTTCAGAAATTTTAAACCTGGGAGACCCGATAGGGTGACCCGACGGATTTCTAAAATTTGTAGTACGTAGTTGAAATTTGGAACAAAGGTTGCTAGTGGATTGTAACAGAAAAAACTGAATTTAGGTTGGAACAATTTTAATCTTGATGGACCCTATGGGGTGACCCATACTGATTTTTCAAAATCGTCATATCGAAGTGAAATTTGGGAGAGAGGTGATCCATATCTATTTTTAGAAATTGCGTTAAAAACATGAAATCCGGCACGGTAATACTTACAATTAGTGGCTTCTCATCAAAGAACTTGAAATTAAAAGTTAGCTAACAAGGGATACTTTCGAGGTGATAATCGTGTCCAGGGTACCACTCATTGGTCTAAATGTTTTTTGATCGAGTGTTTCTCACGGGTTCGGGTTCTTACTTCGGGTTTCGGGTTCGGATCGGGTTTGGGTCCTGCTTCGGATACGAAATTTCAGAACCCGAAACTTTCGGGTTCGGGTTCGGGTCCGAGAAATGTGAGCCCAAAATTTCGGGTTCGGGTCGGGTTCGGGTTCCGACTAAGAACCCGGAACCCGAAACCCGAACCAACAAGAACTTTTTGCCACAACGAATACGAAAACATTAAAAAAGAAAATAAAGTGTTAACCACACTTGCTACGACGGTTATGCTGCAGTAATTCATTAAATAATTCAAATTTTTAATTGTCGTAACTTCTTTTCACAAGTGTCTTCAATTAGTGTTATGGTTTGAATATTGAAATAAAATATATTTTTTTATCAAAAATTTGCTAAATAGTTAGCTTGAGCTTACTTTAATATTGGAAACTTGAAACTGAAAATCATTTTCAGTTTTCAACTGATTTAAAAATTTCTGAATGTCACGGAAAGCCATTATCCATGGTGGATTTTTTGAGATTGCATTATTATGGTCGAGGAATTAAGATTCACATTTTAAAATGCGTTATGTACTTATGCAGAAATGTGCTTAATTATAATTCCTCGGTCATATTTACAGAAGTATTGTTTGTTTGAAACCTTTAGGCTAAAAAGCCAGTCACCCCTTAAAGTTAAAATATATTCGGTTTTTCGGGTTCGGGTTTCGGATTTGATCCGCCAGTTCGGGCGGATCCTTGCAAACGGGTTTCGGGTTCTTCGGGTTCGGGTTGCCCTCAAGTTTCGGATCAGTAGTATCGGGTTCGGGTTTCGGATTTGCAAGAACCCGACCCGTGAGAAACACTAATACCCATCTTCGAACTCGGTCGTTGCCCAGATGCATGTCTGTATCAAATTTGGTAAAAATCAGCCTACTCCTTCGAGAGTTATGGAAAGACAGACAGACGGACAGGTCGATTACATAAGCCCTAGTTCTGGCTAAAAATTATATGCCAATCGTTCATTAGAGTCTGGCTTTTATGTAATAATGCCGTCTTAAAAGGCCCCGCGAAGTTGCTTGGAGTAGGTTTTAGTTTGTTTCCGTGGAGTGAATGTATTAGGATTATGTAATGCAAAGATACATTACATAATCCTAATAATGATTTATTAACATAAACTATGAAATACACTTAGTTGGCTTGGGGAGTAGAGGAAAAACCCGATGTTGGTGGGTTGGGAAAACCTTTACTTGATCCGGATAGGCGTCCGAGATATCACCATTCGGCCCCTTACAGGATTTTTGTAAATAAAACGACCTATCATTTAAAATATAAAATAATTCTTCTAATTAGGGTGTTGTAGGACAGATGGAAAAAGACCGGATGGTCTAACACTAATACCTTACAAACAGGGACGCTCACTAATATGGGACTTTACATGTACAGACACTTTTGCCCCCTCTTATCTCTCTCACACACTTAGACATGCTGGCACAGCAGCAAAACTAACCGAGACCAAAAAACACAAACTTTACTATGAACTTGAAAAACAATATATCTTTGTTCCGGTGGCTGTCGAGACATCAGGAGTATGGGGGATGGAAGGGTTGAAGTTCATCCAAGATGTTGGGAGGAGGATGAAGGATGTCACTGGACCAATGTCAACAACATTTCTCATTCAACGGATCAGTTTGGCAGTTCAACGCGGGAATGCGGCATCAATCATGGGAGCTGTCCCCAGTCAACGAGGATTAGAAGAATTATTTTATATTTTAAATGATAGGTCGTTTTATTTACAAAAATCCTGTAAGGGGCCGAATGGTGATCTCGGACGCCTATCCGGATCAAGTAAAGGTTTTCCCAACCCACCAACATCGGGTTTTTCCTCTACTCCCCAAGCCAACTAAGTGTATTTCATACTTTATCAATGTTTATGTTAATAAATAATTTTCCATTTTGTGGGAAAAAAAATAAATATCACAACGATTAAAAAAAAAATTCTTCTAATCCTCGTTGACTGGGAACAGCTCCCATGATTGATGCCGCATTCCCGCGTTGAACTGCCAAACTGATTCGTTGAATGAGAAATGTTGTTGACATTGGTCCAGTGACATCCTTCATCCTCCTCCCAACATCTTGGATGAACTTCAACCCTTCCATCCCCCATACTCCTGATGTCTCGACGGCCACCGGAACAAAGATGTAGTTTGTTTTAAGTTCAGAGTAAAGTTTGTGTTTTTTAGTTTCGGCTAATGTGGCTGCAGTGCCAGCTTGTCTAAGTGTGTGTGAGATATAAGAAGGGGCAAAAGTATCTGTGCATGTAAAGTCCCAGATTAGAGAGCGTCCCTGTTTATATGGTATTAATGTTAGACCATCCGGTCTTTTGCCATCTATTCTACTACAACCTAGTGGTTCCCTAATGCTTGGTATGTCTGCAGAAATTAAGGCTCTCTTTATAATATCGTTACATTGTGTATGTCGACAGTGCCTGCCAGCACTTTTTTTACATGAAAGGCCATGTAATCCTAGTTCATCCATTTGTGTATACATCCTAATACATTTCCTCCACGGAAACAAGCTAAAAAGTTTAGGAATCTTGGTACATTAATAATATTGCTATAAATACCACTGATAACCACTGTAAACGACTTTGAGTCCACCCCCAAGAACGATTTTACAATGCATGTATATTCCCCAGCAGAGGCATATGTAACTTCGGGAAATGTCAAAATGCTCGTGTTATTTTCTAAATCGTCCAAGAATCCCTGATCATATTGGTGAAAACTAGTTATTCAGCACGCAGTATGGTATTTTGATACGTAACTAAATAAATAATATAATGATTTACAGTTTTAGGACCCTCCCAAGTAACCTCAGGTTTCGGTTCACCAACAAAATCGCAGATTAGTGACCTGTTTTTGTGACCAATTATGAACTGCTTTTCGGCGTTGTCTGCAGACATTTTTATAACTTTTGGTGATTTTCCTACAACAATTACGCTCAAATTATTAATTATTTGTCATTTATTCAAATTGGTATCTTTATCGATCGATATCTCACCAGTATGAATATTCAACGAAACGGATGTGTTAATCCACTCTGACGAGTTCCAAACGGGTGCAAAACAATATAGTTTGGAAGGACCCGGATTTGTTAAGTTTACACGTAATTTTGATATAAAACTTCCTCTTGATTCGTCTTGGATGGTATTCTCAGCTAAAATATCATCGGTTTTCGGAATTCATACGGTCAAAGACGAAAATGTATTGACGTGAACTTTAAGGTTTAGAATGAAATATTACTTTGATAGAAGGAAACGGTATGTCCAAATTGCAGTCCAAACCAAGAACCATAAGAAAAATAGTACCTCGACATTTCACACGTTACTGTAAAGTTCTGTCCGTAGTAGAGGGTTTTTGGTAAATCGTGAATATATATGATTTCCTGCTGGTTTGCGTCCAACCAGTCAAAATCTGTGCATTAAAAAATCGTCCCTATAAATGATCCAATCGTACGCAAAAATCTAATTAAACCTGCTATCAAATGTCCCCTTACATATTTTTGGAGCTTTATCAGGAACTTTAGGCACGCCAAAAAAATATAGTTTCGTAAGGACAGGTCCATAATTTTTACAGACTAATGTCTTTGGATTATAATCATGCGCTCCGATATGTCTGCAAAACCGGGACGAAGTGTTGACACTACTTGGCAGAGCAGTAAAGCATCGTTTGCCCTGTTAAAAAAGTATTGGCTTTCTTTGACACAATTGTTGAATTTCAATGAATTTCCTGTGACCCATAAACAAATACGACCTACCACATTATGTCGTTGATAGATACTGGAACATTCGATTGGATTGTTACATCCAATAAAATCCAATTCCAAATCTGTCCCATCCGCTTTCTCACATTTCCAACAGGATGACAATTCTTCCATGTCTGACACGGATGCTTTCACTTTGCATGTCTCTTTTTCATTGGGCATACTAATTACTGATTGTCCTTCATCTCGAAATTCTAAAAAAATGAGTACATTAGTTAATACTCACGGAAAGAGATACACATAAATATGTGACTCCTCTGTAAAACGCACGATCAGGTTCGGAAGTAATGTTGATAAGGATAATATTCTTTCTCTCCTGTGGAAGCAATATTACGTTGGTTTGAAGATCTGCATTCTGGACAGATTTGCATGAAAAATTTGTAAACACAAAAATCTTTCCGTTGTATCGCAAGCTGATATTTGCCACATAATTGTAAGTGCTCTGGTCCGAAAAATTTGACACTACTCTTTTTGTAGAAGCTACTTTTTGCTGTTCTGAAGTGCCATCGTCATCCTGAACAGGTATTGTTTAATTGTTTATTATTGTAAAAGATACTACATAATGATAAGATTTATTTCACCTTCTCATAATGAAATAACCATTCGATAGGATAAGGCGCAGTGCAGATTAAATCAAATACGGGGTAAGAGTTTGATATTATGGAAAATGTACTATTGTTGTAATCCACGTCTGCTATGTCTTCTGGAAAATAAATGGTGACATTTGGCTGACGAGTCGTAGATGAAACTTTCTCTGTAGATGACCAGACTTTACGTAAAACTGACAATATTACGAATATCGATAAGATTTCGAGGGTTGACTTTTTGGAAATTAACATGATTGGAAGAGGACTTCTTAAAAAAAAAATTTGTATGGTGGAAGCTACGCAAGTGAGTGAAGAGTAAGTACATTTGCGATATGATGATAAGAATGTAAACGAGGAGAGTTTCCACGTAATCTCTTAATTATGTACCATTTCCCATTTTGGTCACGATCACGCGTAATATAATAGCCTGAAATTTGTTAAATTGACCATGATGTTTATATATTCTGACAATTAGTCTTTTAGCATATCTACATATAAATATTCTAGTCATACTCATGAAGATGAAATTTGCTAAAAATATTGCAAAAAAGTTGGAAAATTTCCCGAAAATATCAAATATTCTGAATATTTATATCTTTATAAACAACACGCATGCAAAGAAATCTCAAATTTATCGTGAAAGTCATTAAAATGTCATGAGTGGATTATTTGTGTAATTACTCTCCACATGCTAGAGATGCATATTTAAGCTTGATTCATCTATGGTCAGCTTATTTTAGAGTCGGTTCTACTAAGTTTAAATTTTAAAATCTTGACCACTATTTTTTTCAGTTGAACATTCGAAGATTTTCATTAATTATGAGGACGAAGCATTCTATTACTTTGTTCACAATTCCAGTAATTCTACTTGGGCTGATATTCATTCTTGGCGATGTTGTTCCAAGTGATGCAGCAGTGTTAGATTTCATAGACGTGGACGAAGAGCCAGCCCTTAAATACACTCATACTGCAATTTACGAACCAAAATTTCGTCGAGCCAGTAACTTCTGTTACTGTGCGTCGACATGTAAAAAATGTTGTAGATCAGGGAATACATGCACTTGCTGCTAAAATATAAGTTTAAGTAATTTCGATAACTATTAAGTAATATAATAATTTATTTTTGTTGCAAAATATTCTCCACACCAAAAACATTAGTCTGAATACACTACAAATCTTCAACACTCCACTTGTAAGCTTCTTCTTCTAAAGCTTTTTTGGCATTAATTCTTGAAAACCATTCTTTTTCGTAGCCACCTGACCTGTCGACTCCATCCCATCTATGACCTGGAGGTATTGCAAATCTATTTGGCATTGGTGGTGGTCCTTGGTAAGCAGGTTTGCCTAATGAGAGTTAAAATTGGAGTAAAATATTTTTCACACAAAAAATCATAATATGAGTTACGCTTAATTTGATTATCTATATTACCAGAGTTATGACCCCCTCCTCGCTTTTTCGAAGATAGAAATTTTAACATGGGATCTCCATCTCGATCCTGCTTTTTGAGGTACTCGTCCAAGTCTTGGTCATCTGCATATCGAGCCAAAGGTTTTGAAACTTCATGCAAAGCCTCGTTCACCCTGGTAGCTTGCTCCTCAACTTGTTTCAGTCTAAAGTATACCAAAATTGTGCAAAGATTATAATAAATTACACACTCCTAATAGCAATAATAATCGAAATCATGTATTATGTTTTTGTTACCCTTTCCCCCATTTTTGATATAATAGTTTCTTTTCCGCAGCAACTTTGTCCTCTTCTTCCTTCTTTGCCAGTTCTGCTGCCAAGTCTCTTTCTCGACCAGTATTTCTATCCCTCAATTTAGTTACTGCGTTTCGCCCAGACACTTCGTCGTCCAACTATTGTTAATTTTAATTCATTTAATAAATACTAAATGGTCATAAATTATGTGGAAGTCTTACATTGGAAAACATTTCATCCTCCCGTTTTCTATAATCCACCATTTCATTTCTTAAATCGGATGCCCTCTGCAAACCAGCTTTCTTCCCATCTAACGTGGTGCTAGGTAAGGAATTTTTTGGGCCTTCAATAATTTCTGGAAGCGCAATGGGTCTACTGCGAGAATTATTAGAGTTGCTAGTAGATCCGCGATTAGAGTCCCTTGAGGAACCATGAGACGAGTTTCGTGGAGGAGACAGGTCATCATCTTGATGCCGCCTTCTGTTAGAATTATTTTGGCTGTGTTGCCGTCTTGGCGGAGATAAATCACCCGAATCGTGTCGCCGTCTTTGTCGCGGAGGAGAAATATCGCCATCTGAATCGTTTCGCCTTCTTTGTCGTGGAGGAGAAATATCGCCATCTGAATCGTGTCGCGGAGAATTGTCAGAATAATCAGAATCATGTCTTCGTTTTGATACGACCGTGTGTTGATTATCATCATCGGAACCAGAAGAATCGTGTCGCCTAACACCTACGATTTCCAATTGCTTCCACTTTCCTTGTTTCATTTCTTCGACAAGTTGGGCTTCTCGTGGTCGTTCATCCACAACTGCAGCGATTTGAGGAAGTTCCTCTGCTGTTTCATCATCGTCTGAAATGTCAATTTTCTGGTCACTGAGTCCAAATCCATCTTCATCAACTATTCTCAGCCTGATATTAATTAATATTATGGTTTATATTGAGTAAATCATACATGTGATGTGACATGAGCACATAGATAAATAGTAATTAAGAACTTGTTGTAAACTCTTACCCTCCACCCTTGAACTTTCTCACTTTCACTCCATCCTTTGGCCTCCTCTTCTTCTTTTTATCACGGCTCAAATACTTATCCAAAATTGATGACATTTTCTTATCAAAGATTTCACAATCACAATAATGAACACAAAACTTTAAATTTATGAAATGATGTCAAAGTTTATTTGTTTAATTGTATTGTATAATATGTAATAATACAGCACGACAAATTGACAAGTTTAAAATGGTCACACTCTGTAATTATAAATTACAATTTGTAATATTACTCTGTAATTAAAATGTTATCCAGTGACTGTTAAATTAAAATTGGAGAAAGTTTATACTGATAAAATATTTTGGAAATAAAATGTGTCTGGAATCGTTTGACGGTGATTGCCGCGAGTTGAGAGGCAAACTGAGCACCGATTTTCACCAAAGATCAAAGATTGTCAGTCTGGGCATAAACTAATTTCGGTAATGGAGTAGAAAAGTTGTTGGAGTTGTCCTGGTCATTAATGGATGTTTCCTCCTGGTTGAAATAATCACTCTGAAGCCCCCTTTCGATATCTGCTACAGTGTCAAGTCCAAAGGAGGATTCTCGAGCAGATTGGATAATTAGTATAGCAAACATGTTATCAATGTTAATATCTTCTTCTTCAACAACGTCAATGTTGCATGGGGTAGATTTGTCAGGTACGAGAGAAAGCGATGTCAATGACGCTTCAGTTACTTCAACTCTGGGCTTCGATTGTGGAGGACAACTTGAGTTATTCGAATACGGTTCTTCGTCCTCATCTCCTTTACTGAGGTGCTCAGTAAAGCTTTGAGATTTCAAACTGGCGTGCTCATGACTTTGGTTAAAATTCTGAGAATCGGATATAAATCTCTTAAGTGTCCAGTCTTTGCCGTTTTTCTCGTTGTCATCAAATTGGTAATCATCTCCTGGTAATATCTGAGGAAGTAAAGTGAAAATTTAAACAGCATTTCACTAAGAACTTTGGATTACTTGAGAAAAAGAGGTTGAAGTTACTTACTGGTTCAATACTTGGAATATCGGGAGCTTGAGCTGATACCAGGTTTAGGACTTTATTGGCCGCCCCACGGGGTTCGTATTTTAGGCTGGAATACTTTACTCTTTTTTCAGGAAGGTGACTAGTGGCACCTGTTCGATTCACACCAATTTTTCTTTTGATAGCATTATTTTGTGATTCGATTTTGTTTTCCCATTGAGGAAACTTGCTAAACACATCTTTATTAAGAATTGATTTAATTGGTGGCAGTGGTATTTTCCGAACAACAATATCTTTTCTTGGGGCTCCATTGGTGGAAAGTTGTTTTTCTCGACCTGTCCGTGGTGATCGGCGAACGGTAACGTGTTTTGCGGTGGATTTCTTGCGTGGAGGCAGCACTTTCTGATCATCAAACTTACTTGGGGAATCAACCAAGTCAGAATAGGTCGTACTCATAATTTCATCGCTGTTCACCAGGTCTTTATTTGATCCTAATTTCAATTTACGGGGTTGACTGTCATCATCATCATTCAAATTTATGGAATCCTCCTGAGAACAAGTTTCTTGTGACTCTTCACGAAACACACGTTTGGAATGAACAGCATTTTTTACGTCGTGAGTAGTAATGTCGTGGTGTCCAAAAGATTTCTCACAAGACGTTGTATTTTTTGTTATCACAGCTTGCTTATTGTTTGTGTCACTTTTCCGTTGACTAGCTTGAATATCCTTCCTTAATGATAGAGGAAGGCCTACATCGACAGGTTTGGATAATGGAAATTCCCTACTTTGAAACTTGAGAACTAGTCCTCCAACTCCTTTCAGACATGATTCCCAATCCCAAAACGCTACCCCAAATTTTGAATCCCTTTGTGGATAATATTTATCAAAGCAGCACGAAATATTTAGAATAAATACTGGAAATGATGAAGATTTATCCGACGACTTATCCTTCTGAGAGTCACTGCTGGTCAACACTTGCGCTAACAAGTCGTTCATTGTTTTATGAATTTTCATACGTTTTTCGACATATTTTCGATTAACAAAGACAAATTGGTAGCACTTTTGCCTATATATTTCCCGTCCAATAGTAGCTGTAAACAATAATCCATCTTGTAGATGGTTCTCAGTGACGAATCTGAAGCTTTCTATCTTCTTCGTGGAGTACAGCTTGTCAAACGCATCCCCATGCGAAAAACATGGACTGTAGGTCAGAAGTGGTGATATACTGGACTCATTTCTTAGTTCAATATTGATAGTGGGATTGATTAAAGCAATGTGTTGCAACGTAGTTTGCACATCTTGCAGCTGGAAGGACCCATCAAGTCGTTTTTGTCGAACGGGTTGAGTTTCCAAAAGACCTTCTACAGTGATTGTAAATCCCGGTGGTCGTTTCGGTGAATTTTTGACCTCTTCAATCCCAGTGTCGGGAGATTGATCATGTCGAAACCAGCGTATGTATTCAACATCACCGCGGCGAGGTCGGGTGACAATTCTTACAGATTTTGATACTGATATTATACTGGCTAAGGCTTCTCCTCGATATCCATAGTTTTTGACGCGTTGCAAGTCTTCTTTCGTTGCCAATTTGCTGGTCACATACCTGCATGAAAACCTATCTTAAATACAAGTGTAGGGAGGATGGAATTTGCGAATAGGCTCTTCTAAATACTTACCGTTTGCCAATCAACTCTAAATCTGTTTTAGATAAGCCGCAACCATCATCCTTTACCTCAACTTTAAAAGTTTTCAAATTTATTTCTACATAAATTTTTGTAGCTTCTGCGTCAATAGAGTTGAATACCTGCATGTCAAACATCAAAATAAAATATTATAGGAATTTTATTTTTATGCGCAATTTATTTACCAATTCCTCTACACATTGTGCCACGGTGACAATTGTGCATCCTGACCGCACTTTATCCCTCAACTCTTTGGATAGCAGTTTCAGCATTGCTTAAAGCAATTTGCTTTGTTCTTCGTCTTCTTTCGATTGTTGACACAAAAAACACTTGACAGTTGACGTCTTCAATTCAACTTTTTTCTTCGTCTACACCATTCCGATTTGAATAGACAAGGGAATAATAAATTTAATAAATTATACTAGCTTTTAAGTTTTGTTTATAAGCTTTTTTTCTTCTTTGTGTCTATTTGTTTACATTTCTTTAGCTCAGCAGGCAAAGCCGGAAAGCGGGGCCTTGCTCAAATTCAGTTGGGGCATGGCGTAGCAAGAGTACATCAACCTCCCTTCCCTGAAAAGCTCGAAAATCTCACGGTGCATCTTATCGAACAATGGAAAGAGAAAAATATTTACTTAATTTCAAAATATTTTAAGTTTTTCTATTGTCGGAATTGTCCCATGAAAAAATGAATTTTTCATGGAATTTATAACTTTTCATGTAAATAACAAAGTTAACCGAATTGAAATTGATCTCGGTTATCGAAGTTAGTTTCAAATACATATGCTTTCGATATTCATGAGTAATACTCATGAATATTTCCTTAAATGTGTTTTTGAATTATACCAAATTTTGGTTATTTATTCAAACAAAAGTTTTCTATCATCAACATCGGGATCATCAACATTATATATGATAAATTTATACGTATATTTGCATATACACATAGTATAGTACATAATATCTAAATCGTACAAGTTTAAACAGGTTAGTTAGTTAATTTTTGTAATGTGTGTAATTAATTACTATAATACAGTACACTGACAGTCATACAATGAAGGTACATAATATTTCATAAGGTCACAGATTGTTGGTTGAGAGCGAAATATGTAGTATCACGACATTTGGATTCAATCTTTTGCGTTCTAATAAATAACTCTTCTATCAAATGCGATTATAAATTAATCATTATTAATTGATTATTTATTAGTAGTAAGTGAGTGGGTTGAGTGAGAGCGTATTCAATCTCATGCGAGTTAGTTGTCATCAGTTCATTCAGAATTGTATTAATGAGTAAGTTGAGTGAGTATAATAATGAGTAATGAGTTAGTTGAGTTAGTTTTGGCTTTGATCCAGAGGCAGGCTATGAAATGTCTTTTTCTGGTGTTTAATTTGCGTAGTACGAAGTGTAGAGTATTTAAGTGATGGATGTGTTGAGAAAGGTGTAATTAATCAGGGTGAAAGTTCTACCGGGTTTGTTTGACATAATACAAAATGTATAGGGTTCTATCTTCCAATCTAATAATTGGAGTACTGGATTGTACAGGATTGTCATTATTATTGGGATAAAATTAGTCTAATTAATTAATGCAGAGTCCATTAATAAGAGTTAAATACGTATTTATGTATGAACTGGGGCAATATGCTAATCATGGATTTACATCGTACAACATCTAATTGATATTTGTGGTGTTTGTCATTTCATTATTCGGGTTGGGTGAAGAAAGTCTAGCTATTTAAATATGTAGATTACTCTGCTTCATTAAGTTTGTTTGAGTTAAGTACTTAATTACTTATATCTGTGTGAAGTTGTCAATTTCACTGCACACGGTTGGCAGGGTCATTTCACTATCTTTCTCCATTGTCCCGATCGTCGCAATGTACAGCGTGACGATCCAGTAGCAATACATTTTGTAGCCGCAGAGGATGCAGCCCAAAACAAGGAGAGGAATCCTGTACGCCTCGATGATGATGGATGAGATCCCGAACAGAATGGCGATGAGGACCACGACCACCAATCTCCACCACTTGTAACAACTGGTGAGCTTCTTCTATAAACGGGAAATGAATCTTAATTAAGTCACGAGCTAGACGGGAAGGACGGCAATAAGCAAATATATATTTTAAAGTTAGCCAAACTCAACTTTTAGGCAGGTCAACTTTTTAAGCAAGTAAAAGCAACGTGGATGTAAATTTGAGATGGGGAGGACGTGTCGAAAATGGTAAGCAATCAATGAGCAAGTAAGTCAATAATGTCAAACAAACAAAGCGAGAAACTTGAATGCAACAGCTTTGTTCGTGAATTTATGAATTATCAGAACAATAAAAACAAAAAGGATGTGAGAAATTGCCCTGGAATAAATGAGGCCACGCTGTGAGCCAAGAATACTAATATGGTTCGTTGTTTTGGGATTGACAGGGGAAAGAAAGTAGTGAGTGAAAGCACCTTTTTGTGCGCATTGAGTAGCAGATTGTAATATTAGTGTGTTACAATCCCCCGGTCATCATAAGTGGGAATTCACTATAGAACTCATCCTCCTTTCGCTCTACTCACCGGCCCACCAACCAACCAACAACCTTATTTTTTGCTCTGTTTACTTTCACTTTTTTTAATTGATAATGGAGGGGGGCGGGTCAAGGTCAGACGACGACGACTTCCAATTAAGTCAGAGGAAGAGACCACGCGTGGTTAAGAAGAAGAACGTTGCTGGAGCTTCTAATCCTACTGCTGAACAAAAGACGTGAGTTTTTTTCCTCCTCCTCCGAATAATAATTTATTATTTAAATGTATATTTTTATTATTTAAATGTATATTGTGTATTACAGTGCCAAGAAAGTGAAGCCTACCCCTGCGCCACTTCTACCCACCCCTGACAAACTATTAACCGTGGAGAAAGCGAAACATCCTCTCGCTCCCCTTGGTCAACTGAATCCGGCTGGGACGGAAGATAAGGAGAAGAGGAAATTGGTGACCGCCACAAGTTCTGCTCGAGACGACCCGGATTTTCAACCCGTGCAGTGGTCACTCGTTGCTCAAGAGGAGGATATGGAGGTGAAGGAAGAGAGACGATTGAGAGATGGGAGGGGAATTAATATTAAAGAGGGGGATTTGGCTGACGAGTTTCAAATAAAATATGTTGTTACACCGGATTCTCGAGTCGGAAGAATAACAAAAGGTGGGTGAACATTATTATTATTGGTTAATTACTAAATTATAATAAACATGATGTTATATAGGTGAAGGGGTAGATCTCATTAAACGGAAAATACTGGAGTTGGCTGGTGCCGAGTCTACCTCCTCTGCCGGTCTGAACGTAGACGAGGCGTCCCCAGAACTTATCTTGACGCAAGAAGACGTGGGACTGGTTGATGAGCAAAGGGAACTTCTTTTTACCGAGATTTTTAAGAAAGGTGGTCGTGTCCCTGTCATTGATAAGCCTGGATGGAGTCTCATCATTCATAAAGCCCCCACCACCGGGTTTATTCATTTGTGTGTAGAGAAACCAAAAGTTGAGAACGGAGTAGGCGCTTATCAAGCTTTGAGGCTTTGTACTGAACCCAGTGAGTATATTTCATGTGAATTAATTATTGTTTGTGAAATGCATTGAAATAATGTGTCAATATTATTGTATAGAATGCTACCAGTACCAGCAAACACTCGCAACTGATGTCCTTCCAAAATGTACTTATCATCAACCTGAGCCAGTTTATACCGTGGTGAAAGTACCCGACTATAATCGGAGAGACGTGTTGGTCCAACTTCACATGAAATTTGCACTCTCCGTTAAATTAAATGTATCCGACGAACAGAAGGATGATGCGGTGGAATTTAACCTTGGTCGTGCGTGTTCTAGAAACTCGGCTTGGTTTAATTATTGTGCCACGAAAGGTTTAAAAACTCGTCCCATTCCAAAGCCAATTTCCATGACACACTTTGCCAACGAGGGAGACGCTCTCAAAAAGTTGTCATTAGAGTCTGTGAGTGAAATAGATCCGAAAATCTGCATTATCGAGTAAAGAGTTGTCACTTTAACATTATTATTATGCATTTTTAGACAATCGGAATGTTCATGAAACTAGCCCCCGGAACTCAACCCATCATTAATTTGAATGATCTCATCCCTTTGTGTTACGATATGAAGGGTGAGCTTGATGTTCGACTGAAGGACTTGGGGATGGAGCTCAAAATTCGTCGCCACTTGACACCGGAGGAGAGGGTAGAGGTCAAGTATCTGTTTCCAGGAGAGTACTTCCTCACCAGCACCTTCACAACCACTCCCACCACCACCACCTTCATCACTACCGCAACAGCAGCAGCAGCATTACAAAAACCGGGCAAAGGGAAGTCGTTTTTATATGCCATCATGAGTCGGAACATGTGGTACTTTGGGTGGAGTGATACCCCCGATTTCAAGGACCGTCTCACAGGAAACAAAAGTGATGGTGTTAATGAGTACAAACGAATCACTGATAAACGCCAGAAAGACAGGGAATTGGAGATAGATGGACTACGGCAGAGAGATAGAGAGTTAGGTAGAGCAGAAGAATCATGTACCTATCCACCCCCACTAAAAGCTCCCACCTTGACCTGCTACCTACTCGCCAAGTGTGATGATGATGATAAGGAGAAGAAGAAGACAAAGACGATTGAGGCTAAAATGATTATTGCAGGTTATGTTGCATACTTGTTAGGGTTGCGTAATCCCATTCGACCTAACTCTGATCTAGGCTATTCAACAAATAAGTGTGTCTCTATAAGTCTTGTTGACTCTACTTCCTGGGGAGAGATCTGTGACTTTGTTAAGTTATTTTGGGGGGTTGAGCCAATGCTGGGCCAATTTAAGAAAGATTAAACTACTTGAGGTTTTTTGTACATGAATTATTTTCGAACACAAATAAAAAAAATAGTTATTTAATTAACGTAATGTAAATAAATAAATTTTAGGTTCCGTATCTCTAGGGGATACGGAATTATGTAACTTACTTGGTGGAGTAACAACATGGCCAGATAGAACTCCAGGAGACTGACACTTATGACGAGAGTGAGGATAGACAGAAACATAGTGACTAAAAGAAGAAGAACAAGAACAAATACATGGAACTATTAAATACTTATTGTGACAAAAACTTTACGAGTTTTGCAAGAGTTTTTTTCGTATTGAAACCATAAGAAAGTTTTTATGACAGCTTACATGACTTTTCCACAGTTTTGGCCGAATCCATCGGTAGGAGAGACAAATCCTCTCTAATGCTTTGCATAAGATCTCTAAAAACCGTTACGGACACCAACATAATTACCAAGGGTAGAATTGCGAGAACCGCTCCTATCTGCAAATACAATAGTAACATTTCCATTACAAATATGTAATTCCTAATTCAACTCGCGTTTCCCTTACCACATCCAAAATTGCAATTGCGACCAATCCATTATGCAGTGTATATCCGCAGCATGGCTTCTTAACGTTGAACTTTTTAATATCCGTGCACCAAGCGGTGCAGCAGGCCGCCACGTCGACCTCTTTCCTGATTTGGACCAGCAAATCCATCCCTGCTTCTCGTAATGGCGAGGTGGTGGTGGTAGTTAATTTCTTCTTTTATTTCTCCCACGCCAATTAATGACTGATCCATTAACGGCAACGTTAAATCGGGCCGGATTATTCAAAAGGATTACGATACGACCGGCGCTTATTGCGAGTAACACGTGAATCTGAAGTGTGGAGGTGCTGGTAATGACCAAAGTCGTGGTGGCATTGCCAATTTGTAGGAGATGGCAGGAAGTAGAAACAGTGCGGAGTGTGTTACTTGATTGGATGCAAGTGTGGTGCAGAGCTTTCACTGCAGAACTTTCACGCTCCACGAGTCCACGGACGACGACCAATGCCTCCGACTCTGCTGCACGATCGCAACTGAGAGAAGCTTTCTCCCCAATCTCCGAATATATATGGAAGTACAAATAAGCGTCTGCTGCTGCTGATGTTGGTCGTGATCTTGGCCTAGTCCAGTTCTCTCTCGGTGGTTCTGCAATATTAAAGAAATTCTACTCGGAAACGTACACCATTTACTCGATTATGTTCCCCTGCATGTCGCAGTAAGTAATGCTCTTCCAAGGGACGATTATGTATGCTAAGTCCACTTTAGTTTCATGAGGCCATCAAGACATTACTTTAATGGAGAAATTAATGTTGATAAATGATCCAAATGGGAAGTATGATTCGTGTTTAAGAAGGTTTTATGTAGAGGAAGTGAAAGTAATTAAGGAAATTAATTTCATATTAAATATTTCACCACCACCACGATTTTTTTGGAAATATGAACTTTCAAGCTGTTTCGGGGAAGAGAAAGTTAGTTTGATTTGTGACGAAAGCAGGGATGGAGAGTTTGTACATACTTTTTTAATAACTTTCTCTAGACGAACAAAATGGCTGTCTGCAGCTCCTGGCGATGAACATGAAATATCAAATGTTATGTTTTCAGAGGCATGATTTTGCTCAATATCTTCGTGGGATGGGAGAAGAGCCGGTTTGCAGATTAATGTTATTTGCCCTGTACATAATAACGACCACAGACAGCTACTACAGGCCATATACATATTCGTAAATGTCTGCAACTTTTATTTGCAAAGCAATCAAATTCTATGAATCCTTGACTGAAAACTTAAACCCATCTGGGGAAGAGTTAGTTGCATGTGCATATACCAACACGAATTGTCCCGTCCCAGCATCTTTTCTGCTTAAAATGCCGACAATAAAGTTTCTGAATCGAAATAAATGAGGGGAGAGGGTAGGAACGAGGAAGGAAAAAAATGTCGCATGCACATGCAAACGGCTCTAAAGGGCAAGTGAGATAAAGCGAGGTTAAACCTTCAACCCTGAAGGAAACGCGGAGAAAGTAGGGAGAAAGTAGGGAGAAAGTAGGGATAGGTGCACGTCTCCCTATTTGTGTCACATCTGTGTACAATTTGGTATTGTGTAGAGTGAAAGAGAGCTCTTTCTGTCAAGACGTTCCCATTGCTTACTTGGCTGCGATTTTATTTTATGTGTTCACTTAACGCCCTGCAGCTCCCACTTGATTCTACACCCACCATTCTGCGCTCTACGAGATAGGTATGCAGCTCTTCTATTTCATTAAGAGAAGTGGATTCATTAAACATTTAAAAGCCGGATTACGATGCTGGTTCAAAACTGAAGTCTTTCATCACAAGTTTGGCTGTGTCATTACTTGAGAAAGTCTGGTGGTCCGCTAGGTTTAATAAAGTTAAAACTGGGGGAAAGGATTTCCACTGACAGTGCAAATTCTATGTAATTGCAAAAGTCAACATATAACTCGTAGCCCTGTCTATTAGTAAGGGTATGTACGTTGAATACTTGAATGCCAGACCAGAATGTCGGTTGGACCAGCATGAGCCGCATTCCACCATCCATCGACCAAACTCGCCCGCATATTTCTATTCAATTTCATACTTTCTCTAAATTAAGTCTTGACTCGGAAGAGCGGAGAGGAGATAATAATAGATATGTACTCGTACATATACCAGGTGCCTGGTTGGTAGGGATGGATGGAGCGTATAAGTGCCGCAGGAAAAGAATGGTGCATGCATACGTATGAGATTAAATTCGCATAGATATATATACATATTTTACTAGGAGGGACTCCCTGCCTGTCTGAATTCAAAGGCTGACTGGTACTCGTGCTGGTACACACATACTTTCTCCAAAAGTCAGGCTTTTCGGTTTCTGCATGTGGTCCGCTACATATGAAAATATGTATGTGACCTTCTCTTCTCACAGTTTGGAAGTAGAGGGAACTTGAGAACTAGGCATCTACGGGACCACAAGAAGAATGAAAAAGTGAGCCGTAATATAGTAGCAGCAAGACCAGAGAAACAGTGGATTGCAAAGAAATCGCATCATCGACCCGGCTTTCTCCAACTCGCTTTGGAGTCTAGGTTGCTCCTGCTGCAGTCACAGTTGTGGTAATACAAACACCAAGTCTACTTTACTATATACAACTTTGGAACACCGTCCCTTGATGCAGAGAGAGAGAAAGTCTAAGCTGGGATGAAAACCAATGCAGGCATTTCACTACTGGTATGTAACCGTTAGTGGTTTAGGCTTAACCAACTTTAACGAAGAGAGAGCCCCTGCCTCATCTATCTCAATGCTGCATGTCCCAGTATCATGAAGTAGGCGACCACTCATTCACCTCCATCCGGGATTGCATCCGGTTCCTTTCCACAAAGTAAAAATTGTTGTGTAGTAGAAGTGAAAGTGGGTTCAGTTATGGAGAAAGTTGGAAAGGATAAAAAAATCCTGTCGTCAAAATAAAGGTAAAAGTTGATGACGAAAATCAGGATTCAGATGATACGCAAAGTAGTCTCGGGATATGATGCAGTAGTTTACAAAGTAGGGTAGTAAAAGTGAAAAGGATACATTTTGACTAGAATGACGCGCATTTCGTTCGTGCATGTAGCCAAAAAAAGTCAGAGAAAGTGTTGGGTATGGGACCCAAAGGAGATCAACTAGAATTCTCTAATCCCTTACATGTACTTCATTTTGGGTACAAAGTTTGACTTGAGAGAAATATTGCAAGGGTAATATGTAAAGCAGATTTTTTATTTATTTATCAGGGGCTTGGATCAGTTAAACCTTTTCTGACTGAATAAAGAATCCATGATGCAGAAGCAAAGCATTTCATGCAAAGTAATAATGGGAACTTTTTGCTCGCAAAACTTTTTTTGGCTAATGCGACATGATTGTCGTGAGTGTATCTGGAAATAGGAGGTGTCCAGGGCAGGATGTGAAAGTACTCCTCGAAATAAATCCCCTCGAGTAGAATTGGATAGGATGCAAACTGCTCGATAATTTCGTTACGGTTACTACTTCTCGAAACAAATGCCAAATCTCGTTGTAACCTGAATCACTAACATATATGTCCAGCCCACTTGGTGCACATGTATTTTTTTGCATTAGGCTTTCTTCTCTCCGTTATAATCCTGAAGAAACAAAGCGCGATTGAAAAGTTTGCTTGCTTTCTTTGGGTCGATATCATCGCATGGACTGCGTACGTATATCCTGCTTGGCTGCAGTAGTTCAACATGAAAAGGGTTGCATGGAAGAACTTGACATTGGCATTTACAATCTGAGAAGAACGAATTGGCTGTGTGGAAGCAGCCTTGAGCGGTCAGACGGCTGTCGAAATAGCAAACTATGTACTAAATAACCCCCTAGACAAACTAAATACCCCTATTTTTCTTTTTGGGACGTTTCTTTCTTATCTGCATTGACGGAAATGCGATAATACTATATTAAGTGGGGTGAAATAAAGGGTTCTGGCCGGACTCATGCCGTATATTATTTTATTACCCAGACACACGCATTTGTATGCATGTCGTACATGGCGCTTTTACTTGGAGAAAGTTACATGGTGTTATTCCTTTATATGGTGCATATTTGTTATGCAATTAAACAAACAACGTATTAAATGACAAAATGTTATATGGTTTTATATGGCGATAAATTGTCGGACTGCATACAATTGTAATAGGCAGGAAGACATTTTAGTGCCATACTAAATGTTTGCAGTCAATTATTTTTTGTCCAACATTTTGGTGAGATTTTCAGATTTTCTCACATCTCAATTTGCTTCAAAATGTGTTATCAAGTTTTATGTAAGAATAGCAAGTTTGCGACTTGAGATGCTAATAATCCGGTGGTACATACGTTTACTTTATGACGTTTCAATAAAATATGTAAGTCTCTCAAAAAAATGATATATTTCCCATTTCCGACAGACCAATAATTCCTGGATCGTATCTTCTTCCTTACATTATCACGAGATTGCGATAATGCCATCATTGTCATTCGATAAAACCCAAACATCTCAAAATGTAATTCTATCCCTTCCCTTTATAACTAGATCAGAGGGACTTTGGTCGTAATATGTACATGCAAGATCTCTTTTTCACCTTCATAAAATATTTATTGACAATTTCCCAATTCCGGAGATGGTGGTTCCCTCAGCCAATAAAAAATTACTCTGCGCTTCACTCGTTCCTTTGTCTCACTTCTTTTCTTACTCTCCAATTCCCCGATTACTTTCTCTTTGAAATCCTAGAAGAAGGGAAAGATGATCCCTTCCTTCCAGTTCCATTTCATTTCACATTACAAAAACCTGCCCAGTTCCATCATCGAGTCGTATCGTAAAAACTGATACGTTTTCGAATTATGATAAGAAGCTTATATTATGACGCAAGTAGATAACAAAAGTGACGAACCTCAGCCTTGAAAGAGATTGAAGGATCGCCATCATCAATCACCTCACTTTCACCAGAAAACACATACCTGCACTTTACTAGCAAACCAAATCGGTTCCAATATTATTATATTATTCCAGGTTATGATGATTAAATTATGCTGATGACGACGTGGTACGAATCGTTTTTGATTTATCCTTCCTATCCTTTCATCATCCAAAAAAGTGTGACAAATGTCGTCACTAACTGAAAATGAGACTGGTGAGAATCAATTTCTTACGATTACCATTAATTTTAATTTACACACCTTTTATTACCTGTAATATAGTTAAAAAGATACGAATCTAAAATTTCACTATCAAAACCATTTGACCTTTCTCAATTTTCTCGATTCTCAATTTTCTTTTCGTTTCATTTCAATGCCGAGTTTTTCTTTGTTGACCGAAATTGCACAAGTTTGAAGCCATCACCAGCCATCTACTGGGTGAATCTTTTGGCGTAAACGGTGGTGGTGGTGATGATCCAGGTGTTTATTGGATGAGAAATTGGAGAAGCAAAAGCAATTGTATCATCATTACAAAAAATGAGCCGGGTTGTGAAGGCATCAATTCTTTTTCTTTCCGTCTCCACTTAATAATACCTGCAGACACACTTCTACTGCTGCTGCTGCTGAGAACAATTGAGTTGACTGACTGGATTGTTAGTTGGCTGGTAAAACAAAGGTGAAAAGCCTTTCGTTCGAAGTGGAGGAGACTCGTGTGTGTTTTTTTAAACGACAACAAACTACTGATTGCATTTTTGTTTGTGTTGTTGATTGTCCCAATAATTCGATAATTGATAATCGATAATAATAGTCTGTGGGTATTGATTTGTAGTAATAATTTACTAATGAGAGATTGTTTGACTTGATGAATAATTTAATCGAGGAGAAAGAAGTGAAGAGCAAAAGAGTGGTGGTGTTGACTTAAATATATTGTGGTTTAGTAAGGTTGTAAAATAAAATTTACTGATTACGGCGGCGAAGCAAGTTCAGTTGGAGGGAGACGAATATTATTTCATCTTTTTTAGTAGTAAGGGTATTTCTATTTCATATTTTATTGAGGGTGTTTGTTTAAAGAAAAATTGTACGATTTATTTGATCTTGATGATTTTTAAAATTGTTTGCAGATTCAAGTTTTAGCAAGCTGGAGGACACAATGGAAGTTGACAAAATGTACAGCAGTTACGAAGGTGTTTTGGCCTACACGATTCACGAAACGGGAAAACACGACCCTATTTCGACAGACTCTTTAAATCTACGAGTTGTCTATGATCCTCAAGGGCTGACCGTGTTTTTGTATAAAGAAGATAATGGTAAAGAAAATAGTCAGACAGTTGCTAATTATTACATTACTACTTATTTTGACTTAATTGTACCGTCAATTATAATATGTAATGCAGGCCCTACAGACCCTGCTGCAGAAGACACGTCTTTGAGATTATTTGAAACTGTGGTAGAAAGGTCTTCACCTCCTATAAAAATAGGACGGACCGGATTCATCTTGCCAACTGAAACTGAAGCAATTTTTCTAAAGATGCCTTCTGAACAAGGTAAAACATACAATTATTAATTTTAATTTGTTAGAGTTTTCAATGTATTTCGTTCGTGATTTAGACGCAGCCACTTTACATATGCAAATAACGAAAGCATTGAAAGGAAACGATAGTTCTTTGTTTGCTGTTCGAACTGAGGAATCGTCTGCGCTTCAATATTTTCAAGTAATTTGCCAATTATTATGGGATTATTATTACGATAAGGAATTAACATTCCATTTTTAATCCTTTCAGTTTTACGGCTATTTGTCACAACAGCAAAATATGATGCAAGATTACATTCGTACTGCGACGTATCAGAAAGCAATACTTTCGAATATTAAAGATTTTCAAGATAAAATTATTCTCGATGTTGGAGCTGGCTCAGGAATTTTATCATTCTTTGCAATACAAGCCGGAGCAAAGAAGGTTTACGCTGTTGAAGCAAGTAGTATGGCCATTCACGCTGAGGTTTATATTTCCACATACGTTATTATAACTCCAACAGATTTTTCAGATTAACTAAATTATTTTAAATTACATTATTTTTTAGACATTAGCAGCAGCAAATGGATTAGGCTCAAAGTTAATCGTTGTGCCAGGAAAAATTGAAGAGATAGAGTTGCCCGAAAAAGTTGACGCTATTATTTCAGAACCCATGGGATACATGTTGTACAATGAGCGAATGTTAGAAACCTATCTTCATGCTAAAAAATGGTTAAAACCAGAAGGTGAATTGACATACAACAATTAATTGTTATTACTGCTCCTGCTTAAGAACATTATAAATAGGATTCCATTTTGTTTTTAGGTAAAATGTTTCCCAGTAGAGGAGGTAAGCCATTTTTGCGTCACAATAATTATCCAATGTATTAACCTTAATTTGATAAATATGATTTAACAAACATTTCTTTCCAACCTTTATTTAGATCTTCACGTTACACCTTTTAATGACGAGGCTCTGTATATGGAACAATGCACTAAAGCAAATTTCTGGTATGTTGTAAAAGAGTTTAAGTTGGTGAAGGATGATAATTTTCTTGAATTATTATACTGACAAACTTAACCAATTTGCAGGCAGCAAAACTGTTTTCATGGTGTAGACCTTGGGTCATTACGATCGGCAGCAATGAAAGAATATTTCCGGCAGGTGATGGTGAACAACAATAGTGAATTTAGAGCATTGTTGCCACCAAAAAAAATACTACAACAAAAATTAATATCTACACATGACACAGCTCAATTTTAACTCCAAATTTCCGAAACACAAACTGCTGAATCATATTCCACGACAGAGTACCGAAATTAGAAGAGTTAGTCTCCTTGTTGATAGAATAAGGGTGGTAAATTTGGTAGTTTTGGTGGAATGGGTTTCTTAAACGAAATAGATAAGCTAAGTACAATGCGACATGAAGATGAGATTCCATTTTCTTCAAGTCTTGTGATCTCGCTCCTTTTGGTACGCTCGCAATTGTTACGAGTTTTGGATTTCCACCAAACATCCGCTTGTAGTTGCTGATGGTGTCCCTGTCCAATAAACGATGGAGACTCGATTCATCAGCAGAGACACTTTGACCACCGTACATGATCTTATCATCACAGACAACGTAGAGAGCACCGTGGGTGGAGCTGACCAAATCTGCCAATTTATCTGCTTTTGCTGCTTCTATGCCAAATGGGAATGGAATCTTGTGACTTTCTCTTTGATCCTGAAGGATGGCTGTTACTTTAAGCTGAAGTCCATATGTTGTTCTTAGTTCTTGCTTGAGCTGATCTTCTAATCCAACTGCCAATGAAATTGAACTACCAATATACTTGAATGATGGAGAGTGAAGTTGCATAAACATTGCAGAAGTTTTCCAGAGAGCATAAGTTTTCTCAGCATCCTCTCGAGCATTGAAAAATTGTCTTCTTAATTCTTGGCCAGCTGGTTGAGTGAGATTCTGCATTCCAATTTTCATGTGATCTTCTCTCTTGGAGTCATTTAAGTACGTAAATGAAACAAATCGGTGTTCAATAGTTTGAAGTACAGAAAGTGGTGGATGAGACAGTGTTCCATATTCAAATACCATGAAACCGGTATTTGGCCCCTTATGCAAAACACATGTTGGATTCTCTTCAGTCACCCGAGTTCCATAATAGTTGAAGCAATCTATCAATATTAATGAGAATCATGAGACAATTTGAGCATTATAATTATATGGTTGAATGATGTATATAGTTACCTAAATAAGTACATATTGGATCATATTTGTATATGGTGGATCCATCATTTCTAACTCCTACCGCTCGTTTTATACTAAGTTGGTCTGACACTCGTTCCACTGGTTGACACCAACCTTTAGGACACTTTGGCATCCAAATTAATTTGAAATCTGTCCCCTCAACATCAATTCCTTCAGTTCCAGCTCTTTGAATCATGTCGATAGCGACGTCACGTTCTACTTGACAAAGAGGAAGGTCCCTATCATCTGGATGAGGTTCTTGAGACAACATTTCGGGGTTAGAGTAAATTGGAGCATTTTCTACAGCTTGTTCAGCTGGTCTGGCAATCCCATAAAAAGCATCTTTTATTACTTCCACTCCTACATAATTGCAACACGTGATAATTAATTTCCAATTATAATAGTTAGACTATTTACAATTTTTTTTTAAAAAAAGAAAGCAATCATTTACAAAAAACTCACCTCCACCAACGTTTGCCCCACGTCTTTCCGACACCGTCATTACTTGACAGAACGGTGGTGCGGGACCTCGATCGACAATTTCTCGGCGATGAATTGGGACAACAGGAAGCGTTTGTAAATTTAAAATTTCGTAATTTAACTCCATCCTTTACTCAGCAATTAATTGCTATGTATAAAATTATTTATTTATTTATCAAATTAATTTGCTGTAGAGCGAAAGGTCTATGAGAAAGTCTACTTTTAAAGTAAACTTTTTAAGAACTGCAACAAAACTCTCTTTCGCTAGTCTGAGAGTCTATATTTGCTGGAGAGCGAAAGAGGAAAACAAAAATGAGCGAGGTCAACGAACCATACAAGCACTTACTTATCTATAAATTGTCTAATTTCAGCCAGTTGTGGACACTTTCGATATTAGAATATGCCTCGCGAAAACAGTTAAACATACCGTGGATTTTATGACCGCCTCCGAGTTTGACTTGCATCAACTTAGTATCCCCTTAGAATTTGATATTTTGGAAGCTGGCACGGTTCACGGTTTAGCGTTTTGGTTTGATGTTGCCTTCGAGGGCTCTGTAACACCAGTTTGGTTATCCACAGGTACAATATATAAAATTCATTTAATACATAATTTATTGTAATAATTTAAGAATATTTTAATAATCTAATTTCCCTCTGTTCCCCCGTTTATTCAATAGCTCCAACCGAACCGTTAACTCACTGGTATCAGGTAAGCAAATAAACAACTCCTTGTCAAGAAATGTGATACATTACGTTTTGAAGACAGCTTTAACAAATGTTATGTTTTTTTAGGTACGCTGTTTGGTTGAGAAACCGTTCTTCGTAAAACAAGGACAAAAGTTAACTGGCAGAGTTGAATTGATATCGAATAAGAGGTACCCAACTAACCGAGCAATATAAAACAAGTATGATTTACTTCTACAACAAACTCTCACTTTCTTTCAGACAAAGTTATGATGTGCTCATGGAGTTAGACTGCGAAGGAGAAAAAATTTCAAATACTCTTGATCTTAAAAACCCGTACTTCCGATACAGTAAGCAGAATAAAATATTAAACAAAATGTTATATTGTATAATTCATGTACAAGTTAATTAATAACTTTTAGATTCTTTTAATTTTGTCTCATTTTAAACTATATTCTAATGATTGTTTAATTACAGCCGGTCAGCCACCTCAGCCACCACCAGGTCACCACAACACCGCCACGGCACCTTCAGACAAAATCTGGACAATGGAAAACGGACTTGTCAACGGGGTTCAGATGAATGGTCTTGTCGACGGGATGAGCACTCTTGTAGAAATGCCTCAAGCTGTGATGCTTCCAGGTTCTATGGTAAGCCGACAAGGACTGATTGAAGCATTTGATTTTTAAAAGTTCTTGGTCTAAATTAAATTTTTAATTAATTTTTTACAGTCTCATCAAATGCAGGCAAATGCCTCGGTCACTCACTATACAGCGGTACCCTTACTTGGCGACTTTGTTACAGCAGGCCAGCCTCAAAGTGTTTTGCTCAGCAACTCTAATGTGAACATTCTTCCACCAAACATTAATTGGTCACATTAATAATGTGTACTACGCACATATTTACAACACAATTAAAAAGTGCGATGCTCCTGGCTTCTTAAACCACCATAGTGTCAGAAGTGTTTTAAAAACGCCACAACCAACAATAATTTGAAATTCGACATTTCACCACATATAGTACATTTATGCGTCATCCATGTATAGTAGGATGGATAATAAGTACCGCGATGGCTAACTTCTTCTCGTTGTGATGTGACTTAGAAGAAGACTCCCTCATCTCTTCTTCCAAAGGGGATGCAAGTTTTTATAATTTAGTTTACTGCTAATAATTATAAATATTTTCACAACATTGTGATTAATTATATAACTTCCAGTTACATTACATTGTGTCCTCGGTATATATCTTAGGGCGTGAAATGTTTTTAAACGGTGTGGGTTGCAGAAATAATTAAATCAACTCAACGAATAATAATTAAACTTATGGTCTAGTTAGGCAGATATACGAGTTGAAGTTTAAATGCTTTAGTGTACAAATGATAATTATATCATCATCATCAAAACTATGTCCAGGCATTTAGCAACTTGGTATGAATCTATGACACCTCAGTATGAACTTGGAATCGACATCTAGTGCAAGTGTTTTTTCATAAGCAGCCTTAGTGATCTGCAAATTTTGCAAATAGACCTTTTCCAGGATAAAGATATTGTAGCTTCCTACAAAAACCATGATGAAATGGCGTTTGTTATACATACATAAATATATAATGAGTTTCAGCAAACCAAGTTATCCTCATATTATTATTATAAGTAGGTAATTAGTGTAAGTTTTCCTTGAACTTGTTGCAAAAGTTCCAACGCATTCATCCCGGTTGCATTTTAATAACCTTTAAATAGTGCGTCTTTGGATTCATGTAAAAATGTTATTGACAAAAAATTGATGCCTTTTTGCGATACTCTCTGCTATTATTCGTGTGAATATTATTATTGGCATCACCAAACTGCTCTAAATAGTAATTAAGTCATCGTCCCGTGGATAAAAAATATGTAGATAAGACACCGCACATTCACAGTGCAGTTCTTCGTCCTTGCCTGATAAAAAGTAAATCCACGAAATTCTTAAAAGAATAAAGACTGAGACGTTCATTACAGCAACTTTTTTAAAATACTAATATGTTAATCGTCGTTGTTTTGTTTCTATTGTATCCGCGTTTCATTTTATATTTTATTTTACTACCCTTTATCATTTTTAGGAGGGTGTAGCCTGATAATAATAAAAGACTTGCATTGTTGCATATGGTCACGTTGCATTGCAAAAAACTACCAGTTCCCAGCAGGAAGCGAGACATATGAATGACACATCCATCACAAGTAATTCACTTATCAATCCTTTATGACTTACGCAGTATGTAAAGTAACACCAACACCACGATTTAAAATGCATTCTCACACTGCATGCAAAAAACAATAAGTCAATGCTAATGTAACAAAACAAAGACTGGCAGTACTTAAGTACTTGTTGCAATTGTTGTCTTGACCTATGGACATTATAATTGATTCTGTTTATTGCATTTTCACGTGACCCGGCTTCTCCATAAAGTAACTGCCAACAACACCAACCATTCAATTATATTATCTGTCTGTCAAACATCATTCTTATCGTCATTGTTTTAAAATGAGAAGGAGGCAAGTACGTATCCAAGTTGTCGGTTTCCTCCACTCGCAGTTTATTTATGTGGTTTGATCAGCCTTGACCTAACAGCCTTGACGCAATTTGCATTTTAGCAATTTATACGCTTGTCAATTGTTTGCATTTAATGCAACTGTCGAAAAGCAGTAACGAAAAGTTTAATTGACTTTTATATGAATTATTACAAATGTGTGTATGGTGCATGCTTGGACGTACAGTTGTCAGTGAAAAAGTGATAAGCTTATGATTTCCTTTAATTTTTAGCCTTATCAGGGATAAAATCGTCTTTAATCGTCTAGACTAAAAATGTTCCGTAATAGCATCCTTGATACATACCGTCAACCGTACGTGCGACCTTTATAAAGTAATTATAATTACTTTACTAGTGGTTAGTGCGGTTGTCATAAAATGTGAATTCAGCTATAATTTTTATATATTATTAAAGCTAAAATTATTAGAAAGTTGTCAAATTATTGATATTAATTGAGGAGAATATATAGGTAGAGGTACTTGTTAAATAATGCCTGCAGGGGAATCGTCATTAATAATGAGTTCGATTTTATAGCTTTTCAGATTTAATCTGCATTACTGTCTGCGCCACGATGCGAATGGAGGATGGATATCATATTTTGATGCCACTTCAAATTATTTGACGTGATCATGCTTGACATTTACTGTATTTTTTAATGCTTGTTGTTTACCTATCATTCTCCAAGAAAAGGACAAAAGAGCACTTACGAAGATCGATTATAGATTTGTTTATGGTATGATCGTTCACTCTCGGTTGGTGGTTTAATTGGTTACTTACAATTTTTAGAAGCAGGAATCAATACGCTTAATCAAAAGAGAAGAAAAATCATTTAATTATCCAAAGCTGAGATGAAATAGAGTTAATTGATACATAGTTGGAATCTTGATTAGAAATATTTTCCATCATCAAATCACAATATTTTGTATATGAAACCTTTTGTCACTCGACAACTTTTCTAAACAAATTAATTATTGAATATTCATACACTATTTAATACACTACGCCGCTTTTTTATGCGTAATCTTATAACTATTGATTTATTCTGTCAAGTTTTTTTTTACTTGGCATTAAGACAAAATCGCATGTTTCCAATAAATTTCATAAATAAATTACTTTTGCTGTTCTGCATCCATTTGCTATAATGAGGTAAAGGTTAAGTAGCAAGTAAAAGGATGAGTTGTTGGTTCTTGAGTGATTAAGCAGTTACTTACGGAATCATGCAATATATTATGCGAGCCTTTGTTTCCACCACTTACATATGAATTTTCGTGAACTACGTAAAACAACATATAGCGAAAGATGATGATACTTCTTCAATTTATAATACGATAAATTTATTCGAAAGAACTATATTCGCTGCATGACATCGTCGTCATCGTCTCGAATGGAGATGGGCCAAAGGTTGATTGTTTTACAATTACATCGTCTACAAGAACAAAACATACGTAAGTTGTCGCAAGTTCATCAACTCGTCTGTCTGCCGTAATATTTACGTATTTACGTCTTCCATGAATTTGTCTAAAATCATCAACTTTTCTTGAGCAAATCTCTTTATTAAAAATTGGACAAGGTCCCTACTCAAATTAACAGGAACAATGAAATGAGATTCACGATTCGTAAAAATGCAAAGTCATTTCATTATAGTTTAGGCTATAACTTTTCTGCTTCATGGGGTGTGGGGAACATATAACTTAATACATAAATAATTAGAAATCCTCCATCGAAATCTCGACTTTTACTTACATACCTGTTGAAATCTGTAGGGACGAATTGTGACGAATGCACCAAGCAAGATGAACGAGTCAATCAACACCTCTCTTCAGAAATAAATAATTTCAGTCTTTTATTTTGGCAATAAATGTTTCGCATCTCCTTTGTTCTGTGCTATCAAACTAATTTGTGCTCATTCATGCCAACCTATTCATTGTTTAACGAAAATGTAAGCTTTGCAGCAAATATTTTAATCCAGACAATGATGATTTTGTAATCGGACAAAACTCTAGGAGGAGCTCTTATCAAAGAGTTTAACAAAGTTTGGTAATCCGATTGATTTATTATTTTATATCTTAATTTATAATCCGCAAAATGCAGTAGTAACAAAATAGAGGAAAAAAATTTGACCATTATTCTCACATTGTAATAAGTATGTTTAATACTAATACAATAATAAATAGGTAATAAAATCAGATTGGACTTCTTTGTTCGAGCTCAACTAGGAAATCAGGTCCGTAACAGTAGATCAAAACTGCTAATGAACCTCCCCTTCTACACCTGTCAAATTTGGAAGTACAGATTAAACTCAAATAGAAAAAAATTATGAAAGTAGTTTTTGTTCTCGATGAAAAGTTGAAATTAAATTATTTTATGAATCGTCCAAAATAGTAGCAGCAATGCTCCATAGATAAATTGAAGCAGAAGAGGTTAACCATATTTTATATGAAAAAAATACAAATCTTTACATTTAAATTTAAATTTTGCATAACTATTAAATAACACAAATAGTTCAGTTTTAGTAGTAACTTTGGTTTACTCATGCCATGTCGTTGTTGACATTGAACTGAAATTTGGTTAAAGGTTGGAGCAATAAAAAAACCCATAATGTCAATCACTAATTGACAATTTTATTAGTTTAAGATCGTAAGATTGAATTGATAATGAGCAACTTACGTATAAAGGTTTTGTGTCAACGTTCATCAAAAGTCAACAAACTGGTAAACTTCTTTGTGCAAAAAAAATATGTTGACGACTGTCGTATTCGCATTCGCGTCGCATGTCATCAAAAAGTAAGCTATGCAAACATTTATTTATTTATTTATCTAGCCATAGAATGTAACAAGTTGACAAAGATGCGTCATTTTTTTCGTGTCACATTTTAACGGTGTGAATTTCTTGACGCAAAAATTACACGTTACACGCATATAAAGCAATTAAATACAAACTTATGTAAATTCCACATGTATTTCGATAAGTAGGTAGTACCACCACCCTGACCTATCTGGTCTGACTGCCTAATGTGTCAGAAAATTAAATACATTTCCTTTTAAATGAAGCTGATTTTGTAATTTCCTTAAATTATCACCTCCACTCTTCAATTTTCTGGTTATTTTGCATTAGAGCTTAGTAATCGATAAATTCATTAAATAGATTCGTCTCACCTCTCCAATTTCATGCATGCTTAGCCCTCCACGCAATTTTCGTTAATCCACAAGTGACCCTGGTAGCCAAACATTCAAAGCGAACGAACAGTTGAATTAGCATCTTCTTCTTTTCCTTCCATTATGATTACGATTACGTTTGTGACAAAAAATGCAAAGTCAAATTAAATTAGAACACACAAGCTTTGTTCAAAAACATGAAAGCTTATGTAAACTTGTAAATATTAAGGAAAGGCGTGACCAAGAATCGTTTTGCATTTAATTATCAACTTTTTTATTTATCGCTGTTTAACATTTTATCTGGTTGAAGTCATACCTAGATATTTAATAGCATTGAGTTTTTGGTACATTTATGCGAATCATCTGCCTTTTTACATGGTCATGCAGTCAATTTCCACAATTTTTAAATGATGATGCAAGGCAAACTTATCTGATATTTATCAGGGCACGCTCATTTATCTGATGAGTCTGGCCTTAAGTTTTGCCATAAATCTGGGGGGCAACATAGGTGTAATGAAACAATGTGGCGTAAGCGTGCTCATCATCAAAGAGATTGTACATACATAAGCACAGTATGACGTCAAATTAAACATCTCAGAGGGAAATGCTAAACATACATATTTAGCTCGTTTAGTTTGACACTGACAATTGCAATTAAATATTAAATAAATAAGTACGCATCTAAAAATGAAAGTGTTGCGCTTTTATTGTCTCACCTACGAAAATAAAAATATCCCATGGAGTGACATAAATTAGGCAAAAATAGCCTGTAGGACAGTAAAAGGTTTATAATGTGCAATTATTAATTAATAAAAGTGAATCTTGAACTTGAGCATGTTGCATTTAAGGATGAGATTGTCTGATAATCCACGAAAGGGATTTGCACGTAGGAATATTTATGAAACGAAACCTTGTGCATACTTTATTTGACTGCTAAATTTAGATTTTACCAGTTTTCTTTTGTGTACGTGTGAGGGCCAGTGAGTGAGTGGCCAATAAAAAATTATATTTAATGCGGCATAAAGAAGTAATAAGGTTGCATGCACTTTCCAGTCGAATGATCTTATTCACTCGATCACAAGATTTCAATAATCTCAGCGAGATTATCTTATTCGTGCAGAAAAAATACCCCATGCAGGAGCGTCTTCGTCTTCATACGTGATTTTTTATTTTATTTTATTAACACTTGAACAATGCAACAATGCATTTTCTTCCGGTTATAATGAGATCGTCAGCCCTTCAGGTAAAGTTCTGCTACTAATTCAATTTGAACTTGTCCATCAACCATTGATCGAG